CCGCAACAAGTAAAGCGAGGTTCATCACTGCGCGATGAACTCTTTGTCGGGTAAAAATCGTTTTGTGTGAGGCTATGAGGCAAACTGCCGAGTAAAATGCGACTGCTACAAAAAGTATTGCAAAGCCATAAACGTGAAGCTCCCAAAGCCATTTTAGTTTCTTGAGAGCTTTGATCCAGTTCGGTGAGGGTTCAACCCAAGTTCGATGCAAAGGATCACTCGGTGAAAAATTCGAATAATGTGGAAGGTATTATTCTTTGTAGGAAAATTGATCCTATCACAATGAATGGACGAGTTCATTTCCCTGTCCTTGATTAAGAATGAAGATTGCAATGTTTAACGAGGAAGACTTCAAAGTGTTGTTTTGTAGAACTCACCACATAAAAATGGCAATATTACCACGCGAAATTCATCAAAAATGCAAATAACGTGGGTAGATACTTCTGCCAATTTGAATATTTCACAGATAGGTATTCATTGTGGGGAGGTCGTGTGGAAAAATGCAACAATTTATTTATTTATTGGATCAGGACACAGCTCTGTATGCAGGTTTCTGCTGTTGTTTTGAAAAGTGCAAGGACTTTCAAGGCCATAACTTTGGGAGGATTTCCCTTAAAATTTGAGCAATGATCATTGTCAATATTTAGCTGGACTGAAATATTTACAAATTATGATGTATGCATCCTGCTAATGGTAGATTACCATCACCAAGAGGGTTTTGAAAAAAAACACAAAAAAAAAACTGAAGACTTTATAATGTCCCTATCATTAACATCCCACCAAATGAAGAAGAGCTTTCACTATTGATTCTTACTCATGTCAAATCTGAAGGATGTGCGCTCTGTGAACCACTTGTCCTGGTTACTATTTTCGGGTTTACGAGAACATATGGGTGGTTAGCTTCCTGAGCGACCATATCAACTTGAATTCGTAAAGGATTTAAGGTGAGACTTTGGGTGGCTTGATTTAATTCTCTATGATGATGGCGATATCGAACTGGCAAATATGGTGAACAAACCACATCAAAATTACTGAGGTTTGTTGTAACTCAGACTTTTCACGGAAGTCCGATTGCATAAATTTTTTGTCGTCCAAAGAAAAAGGTCAGATAAGACAGGAAGTTGAAGGTAACGCCCAATTAGAACGAAAATCTCTCAATAAATCAACGTCAACTGCCCGATACTGACCTTTTTAAGCACCTGTCGCGCGATCTGCTGGGTCAAATTCGTAACTTAATTCGACTTTATAGACCGATCGATTTGGGTCCTCGACACTTCGAAAAACGCTCTGTAAGCTATTAGTAATCTTGTACCACTTGTATATGAAGTATTATCGTTTGTCTCACGACTTAGATTCGATCTGAATTGCGACGGTTTGGTTGTATATTGTGAGTCTAGTCGTTTTGCCAAGATCCTACCGGTTAACTAAAACCTAAAACCACTTAGCCGTGGAAGGTCTGGGTACGAGACTACTGCGAGTCTTCTTCAAGCAACATGGTCTCATAAATCGTATACGGTAATATACGGTTTCTTTTCACCTTAAAGTATCCTGTATTCTAACTTGTAAAAAACCTGAGAAATGATGTCACCTGTTAGTGGAGAGAAAATTTCAGTCACTAGCAATTAGTAAATGTTTTGGCACCTTAAGCAATGATACTTGCACATATGAGCATTCCCCCACATGGTATAAACGATATCCTATGCCATCTATTTGTTCCTGTGTCAAAGCACTGCACATCACCCAGGTCTTCTTTTAGATATACATCTTCATCATCAACAACAACACCCTCTCCTCCAAACACATACACAGTGTCTCCGTTACGCACAATACCACTTCCTGCTAGAGGAAGTCTAAGACTAGGTACCAGGCTCCATTGACTTGTACTTGAGTCAAATATTTCTCACGAGGGTTCTATAACCTCCAATGCAATATAACTATCTTACTTGTTCCAACAGTTCCAGGAATAAACATTCCTTGGATGGTAAATCATTTTTTACCCACGTCATTATGGCTTCATACACTTTCTCTTCTTCTGCTATGTTTATCTCGTCCAAGGGTCAGGAAGGGAGGTTTAACCAATTAAAAACCACTATATATTTTCTCACAAGAGAGTGACTCCATAGAATACAATAAGTGCCAAATTTTTTGTAGAATTTCCCTCACTTCTGTTTCAACTTGGCAAGGGAGGGTACAGCTACATGTGGGCTATACATAAGCAGCACATCAGTAGTAGATATGTCATGTATAAGGAAACAATGTATTAGTATGCATGTTGACAATTTTAGTTTGACTCTTAATAGGAACTCATTTGAAGCACTCAGCGAATAGTGGTAGAGTGTGATGAGACTAATTTTATTGGCTGGTGGATAAGTCCTGAGGTGTCAGCCTGATTTTTCCATAATTGAGTAGGATTATAACAAAAGGTTTAGGGCATGTAAAAACAAAGAGGACACTTAGCAGAAAGTGTTCGTCATGCACATTACTGTACTAACATAAAGGCCTTCCAGAAAGCTGCCAAGCAAAAAAATATTACCACAAATACATTATTTATTCTCTGGAACTGCTTCTAATGGTTGATTAATTAGACACTCCACATTATTTAACTTATCCAGTTATAAAATATTGTACTTTTTGTCTTGTGACATCTTTCCCAGGCAATCAACTCCTAATTTTCCTTTATCTCTTTCCACAATAGAAAGGAAAAGATAATGAATAAGTCCCTAGGACAGAAACTTCAAATTAAGGCCACAACCATTGCCAATCAATGATAAACTCTACATCAGGAATGGCAGCTGAGGGTTTTAGTACGCAGCATTTAAACTTCTTGTACTGAAAAGGCTTGGCTCAAAATAGCTTTTCACAATGGCTATAACAAAAAAAGAAATTCTAGAAAGATTCTATTTAAACAATATACAGCAATTCAATAGATACCCAATTGGTTCAACATAAGACAAGTGAAACTTAAATGTCATAGCTAAACTTTTGAAGCAAGAAACAATCCTTAATCTGATAGAACAGTTGCATGATTCATGGAAATTTACATCACATAGTGCTGCTTAACATTTGGCAATGGTTGCTTTCATTTAAGATTACCACACACTTTGTGAGCTCTAACCCAATTCATATCATTAAAATTCTACAAAGATTGAAACTCCATAGAGCTGCTGAATTGGTGCTAAAAAATCAGCAGTCTCTCTTTATGGCAACAAGGAGTGAAAGTTTGAGAAAAGAGACCCAGCCTAAGCTAGGGTGCCAAAAGTGGCTTGGTAGCAGAGCTTTGTCCAAGAGAGCTAAGGTTTGATGTTTGATGATGTCTTGTCCAGAAGATTGGATAAAAATATTCCAACATCTCCAAACCCCTGTAAGATATTACCATAAAACTTTCCTACTAGAAAGGGCTACTTACTGGTGTCTGTTTGCACATTTCTCTGGCAAAAAAAAAAATTATACTAACTTTTTAATCATGCTAAATTATGCTGACTTGTTAATTTTGTCAAATTATGCTAACAAAAACATTGATTGTCATGTAAGCATGGTCTGTGATTTTTTTAAGTACTTAAGTAGAATAAGGCAGCCATACATTATCAGGCTTGTACTTGTAACTGAATAACACTCAATAGAATCCTTAAGAAAAATAATTTTACTGCGGAAAGTTTTTTGTTTTTTGTTTTTAAAAAAAGACAAGTTTACAGTTTATTTCTCTTTCCCCTATAGTTAGCCACAAAACCTCAGCAACTACCCCAAACTTAAGTGGAGTGATACCTTTGGTGACTAGGAATCAAAGTGAAACTCAGAACACAATCTTATTGTACATCATAAATTTTAACTGTTCATGGCTACATATATATCGCAATCTGTTTGTGTTTTGAGGTTTGCTTGCATTTACTAACCTTTATTTTGATTAGTCTCTGATCTGATCACTTCTATCAAAGTGTTCACAGTTTTCCATCTTTTTCAGAATTAAATGATATCAACTCTTTAGGCAATTTGAGCAATGATGCTTGCAGAAATGAGCAGTCATCAGATGGTATAGCTGATATCACATACCATTTGTTTTCTCCTATAAAACAACATAGCACTTCCTTCCTGTGATACTCCTCATCTTCCCCTCCGAATAAATAAACTGTGTTTCCAATACTCCCAATACCACTTGCAGCACGAGGAATACTAAGACTAGACACCAGGCTCCACTGATTAGCTTTTGGGTCAAATATTTCACAAGAAGGTTCTATGGTCACTGGTGTCATGTCACCAAATCCTCCTACAACAAAAAGGTTTCTCCCAACTGCCACAGCAGCAGCACACCTTCGCACTTTAGACATACCTGAGATCTCAGTCCACTGGTCAGTTAATGGATTGTAACAATCAGCACTGCTTTGACAAACCTCACCATTGTGACCTGCAATGACATAAATATGTTCTTGTAGTACAACTGCATTGTGTTCAGCTCGAGCAGTTTCCATTGACACTCCTTGTCTCCATTTATTGAAAACTGCATCATAGATTTGAACATCATGCCATGAATCCTCTCCACCTATTACATACAGCTCTTCATTAAAAGATGTGACTGTACAGTTTTTGCTATCCATTTTCATGTTGAGAGTGCTCCACTTAATTTGGTTTGGATTAAAACAACACACTGAATTTGAGTTCTTTCCACCCATTACGTACAATTGTCCACCACATACAGCAGCACTCCGAGGAGAAGATGACAAAGGCATTCTAGGTAGGGATACCCACTTAAAGTTAGACAGTACAAAACCTGGCGTGTTTTGGTTAGTAGATTTACGGTATTTATCAGTAAGGACCACAACTTGTTCATATTTTCCTAATGAAAGGCGGGGATTAAGTTTTGTGTCTTGGAAATATTCTGGAAATAGGGACAAATCAAGTGCAGTTATCACTTCTTTCATGCAAATTGGGTCCTTACTAACTAATTCTTCATCCAAAATCTTTCGCAGTCTGTACTTGGATATTGAAAACAGTCTGACAAATTTAAGGAGATCCAAAAGTAAAGATTCCCTGAATGGCAGATCATGTTTCACCCAGGCCATCACTGCTTCATACACTTCCTCTTCCTCGGCAACGTTTATCTCGTCCATGCAAATTAGTTCTTTAACTTTCTCCACATCAAGCAATCTGAAATCTTCGGATTTCGTGACATCTACGAAATGTTCCATCTTATAGGCAGCTGCAATTTTTTTTAGTGATTCACAGTTGTACCGAGAAGCAAACGATTCGAAAGCCAGGCAATTAGAAGCATTCAATGTTCCTTCGAGGAAAAGGGTTGCTCTCGTTTTTAAACTTGGAATGATCAAATAGTCTGCGGTAATCACCAAATCTTTTGCGTTGGAAGAGTCGATTCTCGTTGTACCAGTATAAATATACCGAAGAACATCACTAAGGGTCGAAGATTTGATATCCTGTAACTCTACAAGATTACTTTCCTTTTCTCTCAAGTCACTTGAAAACATGCCCCGGAAGTATGGGCTGGCAGCTGATAAAACACATTTGTGAGCAGGGAAGTCCTGTCCTTGGGCTCGAATTATCGTATCACAGAGAATGTTCGTTTCTCTGAGCTCATGGAGTTTTTGGAGCAACTCGTCTTTAAAATCCTCGTAAGTTTTCTCCTCTGCCTCTTCCGCCGTAGTAGTCGCCATGGCGGTCGCCACTACTTCTCTAGGAGGTGCACGTACGTATTAGGTATGTCATGTAAGGGAAAACGATTTGTAACGTACACCATATCACTCAATCATAGTGGGTTACTTGATTCTTTGCTCATCTTGGGCGAGCAACGTGTTGGTATGAAAAAAAGGTGATAGTGTGACCTATTGTGTGACGTATAGAGCAGTCTTACAGCAGCCGCCGTACAACTATTTAAGAGTCAACAATTTTGGATACTCCTTCTATTCTGTTCAGGCAGGAGTGAAGTTCGTCTTTTTGCGATCATTCAATAAATGTATACAGAGCTCAGTGAAAGGTTTGGAGCGCGCCATGAAGAAAGGTAGAGTGAGACTAGGGAGAAACGCTCGTCACGCAAGCCTTGTCATGGCAAGTGAGCACATACCACACGCACTACCGCGCGATTCGTACTCGACAATCAACAATTTGCCTGGAAAGGCAATATTATAGCATGGTGGAGTTGTGACTTGTATGGCATTCTTATAAATACATTCTTGTACTGTGGTGAACTTCTGCTAATGACCGATGTGAAGAAATCCATCCCCCACCATTTAACCCTTTAACTCCCAGATCAAATTTGAAATTCTCCATACAGTTAGTTCATTTAGTATTGGATCGACCAATTATCCCCAACTGATACTTTTCTTTATTCTCATCACTTATCTGGTTGATACTGTACTGATATTGTAAGGAAAAATTCTGTCTTGGTCACTCAAGGGAGTTAAAGGGTTAAAATCTCTGTACCATGATAAGAACTTCAATATCGATCTCGAAAATCGGGTAGCATTGAAATTGAAAAGAACGTCAAAACTCCTAAAATTAATATTTTTGTAGACAGCTGGTTTCCAACCCGAGATATTATATTTATCATATCAACTTATGATCAGGTTTTGATCGTCTGAGTTTTGGAGTACACCTGATAAACGAATGCCGGAAGTAAAATGATTAATTAAGTTTCGATAACCTGAATGGAAGTCACTGATAATCAGCGCCAAATTAATTGAAGTTTTTAGAATGGTATTTCTTATTTTGACTCGGTAAAGTTGATTGATTATCATTTCCTTGATGCTTTATTGTAAGCCTTCCTCTATTGTGATTGGTTTGTTCATATCCTATCGAGTCATGCTAAGTAATCACCGCTTAGTTGGGTACATTCGACTCTAAATGCTGTCGTTGGTTCAGTTCATTGGAACAAATCTCAGGGTTGGTGTGACTGTTATTTTTCCCATTCCTAAAGGCAATGAGGAAAATAAAAAAGCACATAAGAAACTCTAAAAGTCTTAAAGATGACTGCACCGCAAACCAAGGCCAGCTTTTGACATAACCAATATCGGAAAAAACACCGTATTCCCCAATAGCATTGTACAGTGACAGCGAAAACTTGAATATTCCTACACAAGATGCCCAACACATCAGAATAAATAATCTCTTAAGTCGTCTCAAGTCTCTGTCTAACGCTCGGTTGAAGAAAGTTCTACCCAGAGATGATTTTAAATTGCGCCACATTCTGATTCCGGCAACTGAATACCCAACTGACACCGCTAGTCCCCAGACCGCAAATGTAACATGACATGTAAAGATCATCACCTTCGCTTCATGATGAAACCAAACCACTAAGTCAGACATCAGTAAGTAAACGACGTTAACCAGAGTTATTGAAAGCAGGCACGGTAAGTTTTTAAAGTGGGCGGGACCCAGTGAAGTCTTAGTAGTTTCCAAAAAGATCAGAAGCATGATGCTAAAACTTGATGTGATACAAGCTGTGGATATTCCCCAAGAAATAATGCAGAAGAGGAGCTGCATGTCTGTTGTGTCGCTACTGGAGGCATAAGGATCCCAAAAGAGGATCAAAGATCGAAGAAATCCCGCAACAAGCAAAATGAAGTTCATTACAGTGCGACGGGCTCTGTGTTGTGTTAAGACAGTTTTACGAGAAGCGATACAGCACATAATCGCGTACAGCGCTACAAGAACAAAAAGTCCTCCGAAACCATGGACATGAGCTTTCCACAGCCAATTCCATTCCTCGATGGCTTTTAGCCAGTTTGGGGAAGGTTCAGCCCACTTACTAAGTAAGCTGTCGCCAGTCGACTCATTTGATGAAGAAAAGTGATGAGGTTTTTCGTCTTTGTTGGAGTTCGATGTCATGTTTTTTCGTTTGCTGTAGGTGGGACACTGACAAAGTTTGCAAAGTTCCAAAGTCTCATCTGTGGTACCACGGTTCAGTCGTCTTATTTTACACTTGACCTTGCCCGCCACTTCAGTATGTGCGAGCTTAAATGGTGAGCCGTAAGCAAATAGTCCTAGATAAAACTGTATTAATCTTTGAGATCTGTCTGGCTTAAAACATATAAAGATGATTTACATGTTTAATCAAATATCCGGGAAGAGTAGAGCAGAATTAAGCTTTTTAATCCGTTTGGGAAGGCTTCATCCGGCTGAGTGATAAATGAAGGTGATTGTTTTCAATTCTGGTTAAATTATAAAATTCAGTGATCTGACGTTTGCGTGGGTAGCAAAAGGATGTTTTCTCCTACTTTTAATATAAGTGTAAAAAGGAAGTTGATTTGAATTTAAATTAAAAGATTTTTCACATTATTTGTCGATTTTGACAGCTTTTAATGCGAATGTGGTTCTGAAAATGCAACTGTTAACCAGATTTGGTGTAATGGGAAAAATAAGCAGCTCGAAAAGAACTTACAAAGTGGCTCGGAGAATCCCTGTTGTGTTTTAGTGATTCACACTATTTGTTGAAAGAACCACCGAGTTGCTCTTTAAGTCTAAAAAAAATTCTGCTGAAAGAAAGAAAAGGTGATGCGACGATTTCATATTTGTTCATTTTAAAGCCCAGCTACTAATTAAAAAGCAACATTTTGGCCACAAATCTGTAAAAATTTATCACACGGATAAGTATAATTAAAATGTAAAATTTTCAATTTCGCTGAGTTGAAGAGATAATTTTGATGATCACTTAGCTTACATTTGATGTCAAGGGGGTGTATTCACATTGATAGCAACTGAAATTTGACATATGTTCATACACAGATATGTCAGTAGTCTTTGTACCTTGAATTGAGTCATGAAAGAGTTCATTGGGTGTATCTGATTCAAACGCAAAATCCAGTTTATCGCAACAAATGAATAATAAACAATTATTCACCTAAGTTCTGGGCTCAGTAAATATACACCACTTTCACTGACACTAAGTTGAATAATTGTTTTAGTATATACCAAACATACCAAAAAAATTTGTTTATTCCTTTCAACATATCGAAAATGGTCGGAAATTAAACTCCCACGCGCGAATTTGTCTCCCCGGCTGCTCGGAGGTGGATAGTACTTGAAACTCACTACCGAACCAGCCAATCAGCCCGCAAGATAAGCAGTAATCACTTGTGTGGTATATGCTAACTCCTAATAGCCTATATACAAGCCTTATATTGTAATTATGATCGCAAGCAGGCCAGGCAAAATAAATATCATCTAAAAAGTTGCTCCTACACCTACGTGTAATGAGTCCTGCAACGCTTTTGAGCCATGCCTATGGTTAATAACACTCTGGGATGCTTTTTTTACTGAGTTACATAAATGAAAATGAAAATATGAAGTTGCAATAGGTTTTTTTTACGATTAATCTAGCACATCCAAGCTCTACAGGGCAGTTATGTATTGTGACTTCAAGCCCGTAAGGGAAAACTTTATCCAGCTGAGTTATTTAAACAAGAATTATCATTTTCGTTGAGTCTTGGATAAAAAGAAGAGTCTGCGTTGGCGGTAAGATGAATCAATAAACCTAACCTTTAAAGATGCAAATCCATGTAAAGTTTAGGATGATTGATTTGAAATTTGACATCTTAACATTATAACATGCAGTGCAATAGATAAGCATGCACCTCGCGCAGCACGAAATTATGCGCTCTGTGGGGTAAGTTTCTGTTAGGCACGCAAGTAGGCTGGACTTTATAACTGAACAAATTCACCTGTTAACTTTTGATGTCACTTCTTCTCTCAATGCAAATCGACTGGAGCTCCGCGGTTGGAAAAAAAAATGGATTTACTACCTGACATACTTAAAAGACAATAAAAAACAATTTTTATTATTGCACCACCTAAAATCGACATTTAGTTGGCTTTCCCAAAGATTCGACATAAAACGTCATAGGCGCTTCTGTTATTAATTAATAAGTTAAGAACATGAAGCACAATCATAGTATACAAGTCGTTGAATCTCATCGTTCATGGATCATGCCTTTGAGGTATCAACGTTTGCAATCGAGTGGGTACATTTGCACACGCCCATACATTGTGCTGACGCAGCGCTATTTTTCAAAACGACAAGCCCCCGCTAAGATTTGGGCTTAAAACCTAATCACTTCTTGTGACCTCAAGTGTCCGGTTGACCGTCAACTATGCATACTAAGTGTTTGAATACGCTCACAAAGTATACACAACAGTTTCTTTCAAGTAACCCTTTCTTTTCGACTAGCTGCTTCTTTCCAAAACGACAAGAATTCTTCTTGGTAACAAGAATTGATTAATAGGAGGGCCTGTTCAGTTCTTCCAATTGAACACCTCGAGTATTTTTGTCGTTATTTCTCGTCATTACATTATGAAAAGATAAGTTGATAATAGACAAACCCATCAGAAATTCAAACATCCTCAGTAATGTCTGAACGGCAAACCAAGGCCAGCTTTTAACGTAAACGATATCTGCAAAAACGCCATACTCCCCGATAGCAGTGTATAGCGACAGCGAGAACTTTATCATTCCACAAAAAGATGCCCAACACATTAGAAAAAATAATTGCTTTAGGCGTTTGGAATCCCGCGCTGAATTGCAGCAGCAAGCATTCTCACCCAACGATGATTTTAAATTGCGCCACATTCTGATTCCGGCAACTGAATACCCAACTGACACCGCTAGTCCCCAGGCCGCAAATGTAACATGACAAGTAAAGATCATCACTTTCGCTTCAGGATGGAACCAAACCACTAAGTCAGACACCAGTAAGTAAAAGATGTTTACCAGAGTTATTGAAAGCAGGCACGGTAAGTTTTTAAGGCGGGCGGGACCCAGTGAGGTCTTAGTAGTTTCCAAAAAGATCAGAAGCATGATGCTAAAACTTGATGTGATACAAGCTGTGGATATTCCCCAAGAAATAATGCAGAAAAGGAGCTGCAAGTCTGTTGTGTCGCTACTGGAGGCATAAGGATCCCAAAAGAGGATCAAAGATCGAAGAAATCCCGCAACAAGCAAAGCGAAGTTCATCACTGCCCGATGAACTCTGTGTCGGGTAAAAATCGTTTTGTGTGAGGCTATGAGGCAAACTGCCGAGTAAAATGCGACTGCTACAAAAAGCATTGCAAAGCCATAAACGTGAAGCTCCCAAAGCCATTTTAGTTTCTTGAGAGCTTTGATCCAGTTCGGTGAAGGTTCAACCCAAGGTCGCTGGAAAGGATCACTCGGTGAAAAATTCGAATAAATGTGAATGGTATTATTCTTTGTGAGAGAATTGATCCTATCAGAATGAATGGTAGAGTTCATTTCTCTGTCCTTGATTTAGATTGAAGATTGCAATGTTTAACTAGGAAGATTTCAAAGTGTTTTTTGTAGAACTCATCACATAAACATGGTAATATCACCACGCGAAACCCATCAAAAATGCAAATAGCGTGGGTGGATACTTCTGTTTATTTGAATATTTCATAAAGATGGGTATTCATTGTGGGGAATTCGTGAAGAAAAGTGCAACAATTAATTTATTTAGTGGATCACGACACAGCTCTGTATGCAGGTTTTTCTTGTTGTTTTGAAAAATGCGAGGACTTTGAAAGCCACAACTTTGGGAGGATTTTCCTTAAAATTTGCGCAATGATCACGGCAATATTTAGCTGAAAATAAGTAAAAATTACGATGCATGCATTCTGTTGATGGCAGACCACCATCACCAAGAGCGTTTTGAAAAAAAAAACTGAGGACTCCATAATGTCCCTATCATTAACATCCCACCAAATGAAGAAAAGCTTTCACTATCGATTCTTGCTCACGTCAAATCTGAAGGAGGTGCACTCTGTGAACCACTTGTCCTGGTTACTATTTTCGGGAGAACATGTGGGTGGTTAGCTTCCTGAGCGACCATATCAACTTGAATTCGTGTAGGATTTAATGAATTTAAGGTGAGATTTTGGGTGGCTTGATTGAATTCTCTATGATGATGACGATATCGAACTGGTAAATATGGTGAACAAACCACATCAAAATTACTGAGGTTCGTTGTAACTCAGACTTTTGATGGAAGTCCGATTGCATAAATTTGTTGTCGTCCAAACAAAAATGTCAGATAAGAAAGGAAGTTGAAGGTAATGCCTATTTAGAAGCGAAAATCTCCCAATAAGTCAGCACCTGTCGCGCGATATACTGTGTCAAATTCGTAATTTAATTCCACTTCATAGACCTATCGAATATGAAAATCCGTAGAACATTTCAAAATATCGAAATCTTCTTGGTCTGTCAAAAGATATCCCATTGAAGCTTAAGGAGCTCAAGATAGGATGCTGTTCCCCCGGAAAGCTTGAATTGAATCCTCCAAACTTCTTAAAAAGCCGCATGAGGTAAAGAGGCCTAAGGAGCGTCACGAAATATGAGCACATGATTTATTTGACCTTCCGATAAATTAAAGAATTCCGCCCTCATTCGAATCATAGGGTAAAAATTCGGTATTGTGTTTTTTAGTATTGCTTTTTACTGTCTTCAAGTAACTTGACCCCTTGTAAATACAATTTGAGACCACGAGAGGCCCATTGAATTTGTTAAAATTCGAAATCGAATGTCGAAGGAGCTGGTGTTAGGCGTGTTTGTTTTCGGTTTTTTTCCATCAGCACATTTTTTTGTATGTAGTAATATACCGAAACTCTTTAAGTAATAACGTCAAGAGAATAAATGCTGATCTACGATGAGATGCAATAATTGTTTTTGGGCTCTGCACCAGTTCAAGGTAGAAAGCTGTTAAAGCACAACATTAAGATTTTGATATGCCTTTGGTTTGGGTCCTCGACACTACGGAAAACGCTCTGTAAGCTTTTCGTAATCTCGTATCACTTGTATATGAAGTATAGTCGTCTTTCTCACGACTAAAATCAGATTTAAATTGCAACGGTTTGGCTGTATACTGCGAGTCTAATTTCGTACCCAGATCCTACCGTTTAACTGTAACCAAGACTTACAACCGCTTGGCCGTGGAATGTCTGGGTACGAGACGACTGCGAGTCTTCTTCAGGCAACATGGTTGACTAAATACACGTCACTTTATAAACCGTTCTGCATTTCGACGCAATGTTCCCTTAGCTGTTCGTTGTGGCCCGGCTCTTCTGCTCTTCAGTTTTTAGGATTGTCAGTACCATGCTTCTGGGATTTCTATTCCATTGTCCTTATTGGTGTTCTTAGGGTGCATTCTCATTTATATAATAAGCTCAGTTATGCACGCATTCTGATTGGTTCTCACTTACGATCTATTAGAGGACAGAAGTATAGATGACGTCATTATTAAAACTTTTTTTCCCGTATATTTTAATTCTTTATTATGTAAAACAAATAGATTGCAAGTTGCTGTGCGTCTGTTCAGTAATAGATCACAGAGGACGTCAAAATATGGTAAGAACATCAGCTGCGCCTCGTGTGCCACTTTTTTGTTCTTACCACATTTTGACGTCATCTTTGATCTGTTACTGAACAGACGCACGGCAACTTGGACTCTATCTGTTATGTGGATTGCCTCTTTCACCCTACTTGTCTTAAAAAAAAGACTCACGATCAATAAACTTAACTTCGCTCTAGAGCGGGCGGTGTTCTATGTTGTAGGCGTGCTCTGAAACGGCGGAAGTCCGTGCATCAGCGAGTCGGATACCCCTGTCATGCTCCCTGATCCTCTCCTGCGTCTTTCTGTCATCTCTAAGGAGAGGAAGCATTGGCCATTTGTTGTTGCCTCTAATGATTATCCTTCGTCTTTCCTGCAGAGGGTAACTGAACCCCATATACTTCAAATCTACCGCAGTTTTGTTCCATGTCAAAGCACTTCCCTTAAAACTTTGCCGCTACTTTCGCTACTTTTTTCTTGTCTCGGTTTCGTTTGTTTTTTTATTTTTTGCAATGAATTGTCAATAACATAGCATCAAAGCGGAAAAAAAGCCATTCATCAATGATGAAATGTAAAAGTGGAAATGAAATGTTTGTTTAGTAAGTCTACAGTCTTGTTAAGGTAATCACTGGAAATAAAATTAAATTTTACCACTTTTTTTTACGATTATCATTTGAGTGATTTTCTCATAAAATATCTCCGCGTTGGTCAAAAATGAACTCAAGTTGAAAATAATGCTTATAAATTTCAAGAAACAGGTCACAAGCAACTTTACCCCGATGATTTGAATAACAATGGAGCTCTTTCATAGATGGATATCTCGAAATTAATAAAACTGCAAGTCAAATATTTGCAAAAGGCTGTTAGTCGGCCGCTGTTTTGATGCAGTTTTATTGCAGCTTTGGATGTTTGAAAGACAAAACAAACTAACTTTGACAAGTTCTTTGTCTTACCGATCAAGCTTTTCTTCGCCTTAATGGCAGAATTTGAGTTTCAATGACAGTATCAGGCAATTTCAAGACAGTATCAAATAAAGGAAATAATTGCCAAAGAAACAGAATCGGAAACAATGTCGTACTGAATTCTAATTTTACCACCCCGAAAGTCAAGAGGATAAAAATGGCCAACTGGTGTTGTTCTCAAAGAGAGCTATTAACACTTTCAGCTCGCTAAAGCAATGTGTTTACTTGAAAAGCATATGGTCCATCCCCTTCTTTTCAAACTAACAATGAAAATTAAAGTTTAATTCACAACTACACTCATAATTAAAGATGTATATAGTCCTTCATTTATATTTAAAAACGGTTTTGTGTGCCTGTAGTCAACTGAGGTGATTGATTGAGAGTCGAGCTGGTTCTTGGCGTTTGAAATATTAAGAAAAAAAATAGAATTCAAACACGTTTCGATCCTCACTCCTCTCCGACGTAAAACATATTCTTGTTCATTAGTCTTGAAGATCCCCTGACCAGATGAAATTATCGCGGTGGCTTTCCTGAATTCCTTCTCTCATACTCGTTATATTCATCTGTTTCCTCGTCTTAAACTGCATACGCAATGTCTGTTCACAGCTTCAGTCATGATTAAAGGTGTCTATATTGAGTCCTCCATTTACATTTAAAAACGGTTTTGTGTGCTTGAAGTCAACTGAGGTGATTTGTTGAGAATCGAGCTGGTTCACCTTTCTCCACCGTAACATATTCTTGTTCAGTTTTGGAGACTCCCTTTTAAAAAAAGATTCTGCGTTTCAAACAGCGTGACATCTTGAATCACGGTTTGTCTACGCCGAAACCCTTTAAATTTCTCTTCTCAAGTGTTTCCATATCCAATATCAAAATATTTCACCACGACCCCTTTTGCCCTTCATCTACTCTTCATTTTCGTCCACTCTCCTTTTAGCACAACAGCATATTCGTCTAAGAAGCCTTTTAAAAGCTCTTCTAAAGTCCCTTCTGAAGAGGCTGTAGGCCAAAGGATTGGCGGCTGTGCTAAACAAAGACAGCACAGTTGCAAATGTATCCGCGACAGCGGGAATATATTCATGGTCCCACGTTACCGTTTTAATAAAGCGAGTTGCACTGAAGGGAGTCCACGAAATAATAAACAAAATTATGACCGCAGTTATTGTTCGAAAACCTTTAAATCTGTAACAGCTTCTCCATGCTTGGCGCCGCGAGTTATTAGAATTCGTCATCTCTCTCGAAGTTATGGTGTCCACTCGTCTTCCTTGATGTCGCACTACGGAGATTATTCGAAAATAGCAGAAGAGTATCACAGCCGATGGAATCATGATACAGAGTGTAATTGTTAGAACGCTGTAAATTACGACTCGTATTTTCCACTTATTGCCTGTACCGGTGAAGTTATAAGTACACATCGATTCGTACTCTCCATACCTAAACCAACCCATGGCTGCGCATGGGATTGTAAAAATAAACGCCCATATCCAACTGAAAGCAATAGCCATGTAAATTCTCCTGGGTGTTACTTTTGCCCTGTACTTAAGTGGATAAATTATGGCGTAAAAACGATCCCAACTTATGAACGCTAAAGTTTCAAGGCCAATGATGGCCAAGCTGTAGTAAACAAAAGCTGTTGCTTGACACCACGCGTTGCCATAATTCCAATTCCCCTGAATCAACGCCGCAGCACAAAATGGGATCACGAAGATCACTGTAAGAAGATCAGTCACGGCGAGGTTAAAAAGAAAATAGTTTGAGTGTTGCTGGCGAAGGTCTTTGTCAAAATAAATCGCCAAACAGACAAGAAAGTTACCCACGAGACCACACACGAAAATGGCCAATAAAATACCGGCGAAAGAAAAGGCTTCCTCTCTCGACAACATCATTTCGCATTGGGTTCAAGAAACTTTCCAGCGCTGGGAAACTCCTGCAAAAAGGCTTACCTTAGAAAGAGTACACGTAGGAACATGCAACATATTCCCTGTAGACACTAACTGCGACCTATCGGAAACTTTGTCATGAATAACAAATAAAATGTGTCAATAAATAATTACTCACATTCCGTCCCGAGTTAATGAAAAAAAATTTATTTTCTGACTTGAGTCGATGACGAGGACCAAATATTTGATGAATGATTACACGATCCTTTTGTTTTCAATTTGGAAACATTATGTGAACATGAATCTTCCAAAACTTTTCAACGTCCAGCCTGAATCTCAGGAATACCCATTCAATGGCTTTTTAATACAAAAAGACTTTCTAGATGAGTATTTCGCACCTGCAGTTTAAAAAACATTCGGCATAAAAGGAACCCGAACGAAATTAATTATTAAAATGTGAAAAGAAGTTTTAGATCGAAGCAACTTTCAGTTTTCCTAATTTTCATGGTTACTCAATCGCAATTGCCCGAAATAAATCTGCGTTTATTTCTCATTTCGGTTTTTTTTAATCCTAAATTCGAACGAAACGCCCAATTCTAATACAGTGAAATCCAGACTCCCACTTTATCGCCAAAACATAATTAAAAAATGGTCGTTAAATTTTACAAAATATGCATTGCAGATAACACCTGAGTTGTGGGTAAATTAATGGGAAATTTTTCTTTCATAATTACTAATAATTAAGCGCCATCGCGTTTGTTATTGTCGTTTTAAAAGACTCTTTGTTGAGTTAGTGATACTCGGATAAACCATCAAACGCCTGCTATCGAACAAAGTTACCACAAGTTGATTGGAACAGTGCGCGCTCACTTTTATAGAAGGTAATCGAGAATGCCCTGAAAATAATTTGGGCAGCTGAAAGACAATTTAATGATATTTCAAGGAAGGGAGAAGCCAATCTTGTATAGAAGGCCAATCTACAGATTTAAAATGCCTTAACCCGGTAGCAAATACTTAATGCATGCTCTTCCAAATTTTAGTTTTGTATGGCTTGGAGGATTCTCAGTGTTGTGCAACCTTGCGGGAAAACAGTCAATTTCCAAAAAGTTGTCAAACAAAGAGAAAAAAAAAACCCAACGGCTAACAACAAGAGCAAAAAACAATTAGCATTCTCCATCACCAATTAGTAACATATAAAAACACGAAAAATATCACCGGATTTATAGGTAAAGAAATTAAGTAAGGGACGACATTTCTGTTTTATTTTCATGAACTATATACATATTCAATACACAGACACAATTTGTCTAGAAGTGAGCTTAACTCAAGTTTCAGTCAACAATGTGACTGATCTCTGGTTACCTAGAGGCGCCAGGGAGTATTATTATGCCATAATGTCTTAAAAACGTTTTCCTCCAATAAGCAGCGATAAGCGTGTAGGGAAATCATTACCAGTACCAGCTTGAGGCGAATTCTACTGACGTCATTGTCTCAATTTCACTCGTCACGAGTTTACAAAGCGACTTAGGTCCAGTTCAGGCGTCGTACTTCTGCTGTGCCGAACTTTCTGTAATTATGTTTGACCGTAGCACGGCAGAAGCACGACTCCAATTTAGACATCTGGCTAGAGTCGTACGAAATTCAGGATTTACTGAAGCTACGTGACAATCCTACCAAAATGCATTAGATATAATATATGAATGTTGTTTGGCTAGGCAGAGGCATGATGTTTGAGTCGCTTTCCTGTCAGGATCGTGTAGCACGGAGAAGCTTGTCGAACTTGATTGCTTCGCCGAACTTAATTAAAAAGTTTCATTCAGACACTGTGCTTCTACCGCGCTTTTATCGAACTTAATTGCTGAATTAAGTTCGACACGAAGGGGGCACGACATCTGAACTGGAACTTAAAAACGGAATCATTTTTAGAATAGAATGATTTTACAGGAAACGTTTTACTTACTTAGCAGTCGTAAAATTCAGCTCTAGGTTCATAATGCTTATGGATATCAGTCATTCTGGTTGTTACCAGTGTTAATGGGTCTATATATTCTTAAAATTATAATTTTAACCTCATAGCATCGCTCTGAACAAAAAACAAATTATGCAGGTGGTATCTGTTTTATGGCTTTTAAAAGATTCGGAACTGACTTTGTCATTCTCTCAGGGAAAGAAACGTGTATGGAAATATGGAGATACTTGTCAACAGAGATTCACCTATCGTGTTAAATGAGTTGGAAAACTTTTCTCCTCTCGCCGTTTCTCCTTCCGTAAAGTTTGTTCGGTAAAAAGACAAGACAAAGCGGAGGAAATAATAAATAAATAACAAGTTTATGGTTAGTTTTTCCGAGACAAAGAAGCCATTCCGTAGTTGAGCGGTTGATATCCTTTTCTCTCCGATAAAAGGAATAAATGGTAAGACAAGTTGCCCTCTCTAGCGAAACCAAGGCTCTGTCGATTCCATTTCCAGCTGTAATAAGAGCCCGTGTTCCAAGAAAACCGCAGTCTAAACACGGCTGGCCCGGCCAGAAGATATCAAGTCGTAGACTTGAGGCGCCTCGGGAGTTAAATTGTGGTGGATGACTAAGTGCCTTATTTAAAAACTAAAATTATAATCTCATTTTATCTACAAAATTGATCGATATCTGACAGCGAACATGATCCATACTGCGCAAGCGCCTTCTGGGTAGGTGAACACTCGGACTCGAACTGCCAATCTCACGTGATCACCGCGGCAGCAAATGATCTCTTCACATACCGGTGACCTGGGAAAGACATAATTTTTACCCCTTTTTACAGTTGTTCGAAAAAAAGTTCAAATCAGGCCGAAGAAGTATGCCGCAGGAATAATATTCGAGCCACAAGGTTCGCGAACGGTTAGGTTAGGTTAGGTTAGGATTTGAGGATTCTGGAAAAAGTTTATGAGGAAGGCAAAACAGCAAGATATGATCTTTTGCGTACTGTCTCTCAGCCGTTTACACAACGAAGGGAAAACGTTTGCATTTGTTGGGTTCAATGGGATGTTTTTTACTGTTGGGTCTTTTCAACATGGGACGAAAAACAAAGGACATCAGAGATAAATTTTGAGATCTTAGTAAAACATGCAAACAACCTGTTTATCTGTTTTTCGCAGGAAGAAATTGAGTTAAATGCCATTTGGCCTGGCCTGTATTCACGGAAAAAGCCAGACTTCTAGGGGCCTCACAAACATATGAGTTATAAATTAAACGCAATTTACCTCAGACACGTGGCAAATGCCCGTCTTGCGTTACGATGCACAAACTGGATGGGAAACCCTTTGAAAGTGTGACCGTCAGGAATTGCTCGTCTTATGGCTTGTTGAAACTCTTCATTTCCGGCGGAAACACCCGTGCTGTGCTCCAATTCATAAGCAGCGAGAGCCGGTGTGAGAATGTAACTCAACTCGTCATCCCATGCAGTGTTTAAGCCCAAATCCTAAAGCATTATGAGAAATTCACCAAACATCAGACTCATGCGTTGTTTCCGTCACAGCCGATCTTTGAATGTCACGCAACGCCCCTCTTATACCCAACGCTTATATACGGAGTGGGAGTGGGGAAGCGTTGTGTGACATCTCAAAGAACTACTGCGGAAGAAAGTAGCTGGTGCGTCCATTTCACAAGTATAAAGAGTGATCGATACCCACATTAGACAGAACAGTGCAAATAAGACTGGCATCCAAAATTAATCCAAGAGAAAAGCCCGTGTATTCAAAGTGACCGTTGCGATATTTAAATCTAAATCATAATTTTACCCTTCTATGATCCGTTACCAAGCTCCTTAGCTCGTGCTCCATGTCATTACTAACCAGGGATGAGTCAACACCAGAAGGATACAGGGGAGGGAAGACTGGGCCGCTGGGCTGCGATAAGAAAGACCATATACTTTAGTCCAGCCTATATTTAGAGCCAGTTTTGGGATGTGGGTAAAACTTAACAATGTTAGTTTGTTACGCCAGAAAAACACCAAACGATTAGATGAGAGGAAAAAAGAAGCAAGAATGACTAACGACTGAGAAAAACAACAGGGACGGCAAATCGCGTATGAGGAAAAACGTAGAAATTTATTTACCAATATTTTAGGCCCACACACGGATCGTAACGCCTCTTCGCTCATACACTTCCACCGAGCTTCATTCTGAAGTTCAAATTGACAAACTTCAACAGAATCTGTTGGCTGAAAATAATTTTGCAGTGATCGTTATTCAATATTACATCACGATATGCATACTGCATTCTCAAAAGAATGCTTAAAAATCACATTAGCGGCAGTGTTATATTCTGGGCATATTTCTTTATGAAAGAAAGATTTGCAGCATTGCAGAAGTTCATTCAATGTCATGTAACTCTTTTCAAGGCAAACCAGTTTTCTACATAGTGGTACTGCAACTTCTCCAAGACCCAAACTTTCCTGTGTATGCGAATTCACAAAACATGTCGACACAGCAGTTGAAATGCGCAAAAGAAAAAAGTCTGGTGCGCTGGTGACCTGAAGAAAGGAAAAAGTTGGCTCGTGTGTGCAACCCAAAATAATCTCAACACTCAACAGCCAATACCAAGGAAGGCAAATATTACAACGTGCCTACAGCGCAATTTCATTCAAATGTCGAAAGTAATCCGATATTGCATTGGCATCGCTTTCCTTCGCTCTGTGATTTGCCCAGAAAACTTGCACCACGCTATCAACCCATCAGAATCAATCACAAAGTAGTCGCCAGCATTTTTCCCGCGCTGTAGGCAGTTCGGTTGTTTTACTTTTAAAGGTACTTTCCTCTCTTTCGATTGGCAGTCCTGGATACATTTAATTGGTTTTTGGTTTTACAACACGTAATCAAAAGCGCTTTAAGACGTCAGAGTTAAAACTGCTCGAAAAGCGGGAAAACTTGAGTGACTACGTCGCGATTGATTTTACGTTTTTCGCATCTGATTGGTTGAGATGGTGGCGGGACTTTTTCTAGACAATTGACAATAGTCAGATGAGTTACTCCCAAGCTGTGATTTGATTTCTAACCTGACTGTTTGCGTAAAAGGTGCGATGATTAAAAACACACCCTACAGTTCTGTAAGGATGATCAGGGCGGGACTGTTTGAGAGCTGGGGGGTCATCAGGGTTCACTGGGCGGTGAGCGTATCTGTCCAAGAAAATGCAAGATAAAAAGATTATGTGAGATGGTAGGTTTCACTAAAATCAAAGCCACAATAATCAGATTGGTAAATCTCTCGCTACCTCGGACCTCGTGCAAACCGGATTCAAAATATGTTCCCCTGAATTTCAATTAACATGTACTCCGATATTTTGAAACAGTTATTGAACTAGGTGGAGTGCAACTTTTTCTAAGAAATCATATAGCTGCGAAAAATATGTCATTAAGAGAAAAAAATCGTACGATTCGTGAATAGATTGCACTGCTGAGAGCCAGTCAGATTTCCTGAAATCACCGGTGATTTCCAAATGGATGGTATGAACCCCCCAAATTCAAATTCCTGATTCAAATTTAATTTCCCATGGATTTCCTTCACACATTTACTGCAATTTTATCTTCAGGAACTCGAAATTTCGAAACTCCGGTGAGCTCCAAGTAAGTATTGTATCCCTTCAGGTCATCCACAACACAATTTTTGGGGATTTAAATAACTTTTTCCACAGAGAGCTGTGCCTAGAAAAGAGGCCTTACACAATAACTCAAACATTTGTCCATTTTCCTGTAAAGTTCAGGTAATCTGAGTTGACTTAATCACAAAGAGAAAGTTTGCTGGCACCTCCCTACTTTTCTGGTAGGAGGAAGGCACCATGAGTGTCATTAACAATCAAGAAATTTTTAATACTCAAATGAAACAATACCTGTGAGCTGTCAAACTCTCCCAAAAGGTGACTTCTCCCTCAGGGCTGATTGTCATAACCCAGGTATGGGCAGCACCTTTTCCCTTGGTGCCCACACAGACAAATGCATTGAGGCCAAAACCCAGAAGAAGACTGCACAACAGAACTGCATGATCCTCACAATCCTTGAAGTAGTAATATCATCACAATCATGATGTTTCACCACATTTTAGAAGCAAACATTACAGCAAAGTACATTCTTTCTGATGAAAATCAAATCAAAACAAAGCAGACAAAAAAATTGAAATTGATACACTTCTGGTATTGTTGGTTGATAAATAGCAACATTTTTTATTCCTAAATTTGTTCATTAAAATTCCATTTCTTTGAACTTATTAATCCATTACTTACCCCTTTTCCTTTGCAGAGAAATGCATGCAAACTGCTCCACATCTCTGCCCTTCCACCACCAACAGATGGCGTATGCTCATACCCTAATAGACTGACAAACCTGGCAGCCTGCCGAGGGCTATCAAGTAATCTCCCTGCGCGGAGAGGACACACAAATGAGCAGACAGGGCGATTGGTACCACACTCATCTTGAGCAAAAATCTTCACAAGTCTGTTACTATGAGAGGCACGTATCTGTAGAAATTCCTTCCACCACTGTTTTGCATATACCAAGAAAAGTCTCTCTCTTTCTGCTATTCTGGAGTGTTCCAAGTTTACTTGTGCTGAGATTACCTCTTTTGTTAAGATCTGAAATTTTGAAACCAAAGTATTTTCTTTATAGCATGTTTTTGGAGACAAACAGTCCTTGCATGTGAAACTGTAATTAAAGAACTCAGAGACAAAGAGGTCTGACAAAAATCAGGCTTTCATGGGATGCACTGTGCCTCCCAGATACCATCAAGGCACTTCTACCAGCTATGTACCAAGCCACATGTTTTGAGAGAGACCAATTTTAGAGCTTTGTTTTCTCCTGTAAAAGAATGTTCTGACCATTAACTAAAACAACTCATGTTTTGACCTGCTGATGATATGCAAGTAAAAGAAATGAAAACAGCTGTTCATGCACATACATGTCTAACCTCACCTGACTCAACCTTGGAATTATTTCAAACTTAATCTCTAGTATTCCCATCGGCACTTTAGCCTCTGCCCCTACACCATTTATTTCCACGGCAGATGTTAATCTTCCATTTGCTGCAGACAGAATGTCTCTCCATGGAAGGAAATGCGAACCAATCAATGTTGTGTCACCTGATGGATCTGTTTTAATAAGGACTAAGTGAATGTAATCTGAGATTGATAGAAGAGTTGCTGCATCAGCCATTTTGCCACCATCCTTTTGCAGTTCCAGCAAAAACCCTATGGAAAACATATTGAGTGAGAAATAAAAGGTAGGCCATATTAGCCAAAAGGAAAGGATTTTGATAAGTAAAGCAAAGTCTGTTCCCAAGCCAAGTTGTCCCTTAAGACAGAGCTTATTCCTGTTTCCTGAAGTGACTAGGAGTATGACTACTTGCCCCTCGATAGAATGGAATGGTCCATAGCAAGGTTGCCCCCCCCCAGTATTTCATCAAGCTTCCTTGAAAATTTGCCGGTACCAATTTTTACTCCTAGGTAGAGAGAAGCACAGTGAAAGTAGACTGTTTTGCCCAAGAACACAACACAATGACTCAGCCAGGATTCAAACCTAGACCCCTGAACCTGAAATCCAAGGCACTAACCAATATATCACTACAGTACATCTCTCACTTGATAAGACCAACAATACATTAATCATAAGTAAAACTGAATACCTTTGTTTGTTGGTCACAGTAAAGAGTTTCAAAGCTGATTTTTCGAGCGTTAGCCCTTCATCCTAAAGTGTCAGCTTTGAAACTCTTTTTGGTGACCAATTTACGTTATCAACTCAGTTGATAACACTAAATTACCCTGTTATACCCTCCCACTGACACAGCACCATTGTTTCTTCAAAAACTTACCCCCTCTATTCATTTACCTTCATTTATGTCTGGTTCACAAGCACAAGGAACAGGTCTGGACTTAAATCTTTGTCCTTTAAAGTGAACATACAAAGTAAATGTGGATGTGACTTTTCCTGGCAGTGGTTCAGGATCCTGCAGATGTTCTAAAAATGCTTTGCCTCCAAGTACTTGCAGGTATAGGTAACGCCTGGTAGGATCCACACCAACTGAAAAGTACATAAAAAGTCAGCGATAACAGGAAGCAATTACTCGCCTGGAATTGGTCAGTTTTGCAATGATGTTATTGAAAGACTCAGGTAGTTATAAACAGTGGAGATTGCCCAGTTTTGATCCATCTTGAAGTTAGGTGGCTCTGTTCTGTCAACAGGACTGTTACATTAATCAAATTTACAGCTCTGACTTAACAAACAAGTCATCACTTGACTGTGTTGATAACCACTGCTAGGGTTATAAAAAAAAATCAATCACCACAACTGACAACAATCCTTCTCAGGAACACTACTCTGACCTGGATGATCAAACTACAGGATCAAATGTTGCTCCTGGATTCAAACCAGCAACTGAATTGGCAGTGCCTTACTACAACTATCATAATTGGTAGGGTAGATGCTTAAATTAGGGACATGAATGATAAGCTTTTAGTTCTACAATATTAATCAAAGGGTGTAGAACAAAAATTTTCGTTTGCAATTTCATAAACTTAACTAATCTAGCACATTTGTTTCCTCATATGGAACATTCAATAGCAGAGTTAAGCCATTTTTAAAACCGAAATGATAAGAGTAACTCAAATTTCATCAAAACTTCTATGAAACACACGTGCAAAACGTTTTAAAGGGACTCTGATTCGTTAAAAGATATACACAAATGAATTTGTGTATATCGTCGCGTTTCAAAAAATCGGAAACAGTTGTTTGTTTACAAACGTTTTGCATCGTTTACACATACATTCTAAAGCTCGGCCATAGCTACCTAAAGTAACATGTTATTACCCCTTGCTGGGACTTCCTCTAAGGCATTCACCCTCCTTTTATCCTTTGATCGTCCAGGATCTCTTTCAAGACCTTCGAACTTAAGCGTATTCATCACATCATCAACGATGCCTCGTTCTTTCAATGCGTTCAATAGTCCTGCTTCGTCGATTCCTGCACTTTCAGCCTCTTCCCCGCGGAATGATTCATCCACGCAGTCCCTGATCCTAGAATGCACGTTCATTTGGGATACATGACTGTGAATGATCTGCTTGAGTTCATGAACTTTTTCTGAAGGAAGAGCCATATTTGCTAAATTTCACTGTAAACTATGCCGTTCAAATGTGGCGCGGGACTTCCGGAAACGGAAACTGCGCATATCCCGGAGCGCTTATGTTTTTGTTCTTATCCGCTGTTTAGAACTGTCTCCTACTATGAACGCATGTACATATTACAAGAGCCCGCTGGGACGTAGTGCATGCTCATATTTCTTGGCGCAAAAATTTGAACGAGATCTTTTTTCCGCAATGAGTATCTTTGAAAATTAAGGATGTTTGAAGGATTAAGAACAGTAAAAAACTAGTAAGATCATATTTACGCCTATTATGGAGCAAGTCCATGATCTCTCAGAGGCTCTACCTCTTCAAGCTCCTCTAACCTACCATGCTGAAGTCCTGCAAGATCCATGCAGGTAAGTATAGTCGATGGTCGAAATAATAGTAAAAAATTAAATTATTATTAAAGATCCAAGATTCTCGTAAATTTTATAGACTGACGGCGGATTACCTAGTTTGTATTTCAAAAAGTGAACACTTAGGATGCAAGAATTCCCGAAAGACTTACATTTATAAGTTGAAGACATTACAGCCGAGTGCAAAGTTTGACATGCTTCAAGAAAAGACAGTGTTAAGTTAAACTCAACATGTGTCTGTATTTATCTATTTAAGAGAATACTTTGAATAAAAATAACTTTTTTTGGTAATGTGAATAAAACCTTGTTTTCAATCTTTGCACACATAGCACAGCTCGCTCTGCTGTTATAAAAGAGCATGTGAGGAAATTTTTGATGTGTGAAGCAACTGTTTATGGTGACACTACCTTCACGGAATTCACAGATGGATTTTTGACAGAACATGTGAAATCTGTGAGTGTCTGTGACACAGATTTGGTGTCTAAAGAGAGACAGGTAAACAGATAATGCTTATTACTTCATATAAAGTCTTTCAATCAATTAATCTTGTATTTTAAAGAAGTTTTTAAGTTGCATGTTGAAACCAAATTAATCACAACTGAACATTACCGATCAAAACAAAGGTAAATATTATCGTCACCTGCAAACAAGTTAAGATAATACCTTTAAGACAATAATAGTCTTGTATTTTAGAGAAGTTTTCAATGAGTGTCAAAACCAAAACAAAATTAATCACAACTGAACATTACCAATTAGAATGAAGTTCACATTATCATTCAATGTTTTTTCAGGGATTATTTTAAACAGAGTTGAATCTAGCTTAATTTGAATTGCAAACTTGCAATCCATGATTACTTTTTAGTCAAATTGCTCTTCTGGAATGATGATGGGCCTAAGTGAAGCAACAGAAGAGTTCTGTGTTGGAAGAAGACATAAAGACAGACCAAAGCGAATCATTGTCACCATTCTTTTTTTTCTGCCCTGCAAACCGGTATGAGCCTCAGTCAGTCCATTTCCAGTTGATAAAATATAAATATCATCTAAGATAATTTTTATGATTATCATAATCTCTATTCAATCTTAGCAATGTCAGATGTAGTCCAAAGGCTGTAGGGTTAAAATGCCAACTCATAGGAAGCCAACCAGTTGGCTATTTGCAAACTTTGAAACTACTAGCCTCTGGACCCCTGAATGTGAGTTTAGCCGTGTAAGCAGACCAGAAGAAAGATCTTTGCTGAAATGGTAGTAACTGATTTATTTGATAAAGGACTTGAAGTTACCTCAATATATGACCAAAAAAAACATTCTTTTTTCAGAGGATTTTCATGGAGTTTGGGAAAGTCTGATCTTTGATTCAGATGTCAAAGCCCAGGTGAAAAAACACTTTAATTTTCTTAACTTGTGTTGTTTTTGATATTGAGATCATGATTGTGATATTTTCTTCTCTTTCTTTTCTTTTACAGCTGATAAACTATGCAATGACAACATTGCTCTTCTCAGACAGGCATGGAATAACCCTTATTTCTATGTTTTTTATACCTTAGATAGGGCAAAAATTGTTATTTAACTCAGAAATTATTGTTACTTGATATGCACCATTGAATAACTTCAAGATGAAGGATTAGAAGAGATATTGTTGATGAATATCAAATTAAAGAAGAATCCATAGAAGAAAGCATTGTGAATGTATATAAAGATCTAGACTCAGTGTGAGACATGGAAAGAAATTACCTCTCTACGACCCTATCAATTTTTGACCAAGAGAAAAGAAAAGATTGTGCATGAGATTTCACTTGAAATAAATTGAACAGATAAAAACTCATGGGACAAGAGAATTCCCCATTTCTCTGTTAATTTTCTGTTTCTTGTAGAATCTGCACTACTGACACAATGCAATGATCTTTGTTTTGTGTAGGGGTGTGAACAGTAACATAATATCATGGAATAGAGTGATTCTCCTTCATGGTAAGGATAGAGAGAGATTGCAGTGTTCTCTCAGTTTAGGGATAAAAATTTTTCCTTTTAACAGGTTGAGGGTAAGCAAGAACAAGATTATTTGGTGATAGCAATAGAGTGAACTTAATAATTTAAATTGGCCACCCTTAAGAGTTTCTAAAGCTTATGTTCCAAGAAGTATCCCTTTGTGAGAGCAAATATTGCAGGGCTAATGTTCTGATGAAGGGCTACAAATTTACCATCTACCTCAAAGAAATTTGTTGGTAAGAATTTGGATAATTTTGCTCCAAATGGCAGGGTTTGGCTGGGTTAGTGGCTGTCATGGAATTTAGGATTTTTCCAGGCCTGGAAAGTCTTGGACTACAATGTGGGTTATGACGAGTCTGATGAAAAATTTTGGGAATTGTTTTAGGGTGGAGCCAAAAGCAAGAAAGTTCATGAATGACTGTGTAGAGTAAATTTTTTTTTTTCGCACAAGGTCCACCAGGAACCGGGAAGACATCCCTTTGCAAGGCTCTGGCTCAAAAACTGAGCATTAGATTGTCAGATCGGTGAGGCAGTATGATAGTATGGTTAAAATCACAATGAAAATTGTTAAGAAACATGCATCAATGATCACTACTCCTGGACTAATTAAAACAAAAATTGGAAAAAATATTCCAAAACAATAGATTGAAGTAAATTATCCAAAACCCTTAATGACTGGGGGCAGAGAAGCTGGCTGATTCTGGAAAAAGTGCAGCCAGAGAGTTAAACTGGTAACAACTAAGTTTAAGTGTGCTGAGTACAGCAAGTTGGAAAGTCAGGGGTTTCATTTCAGGCCGGATGTGAGACGCAACATTAGTTTGCACGAAATAATAATTTTTTTAAGTATGGAAATCGTTTTTTCCATTTATTAACCAAAGAAAGACTTGACTCTTATTTTACTCACTTAGTTATGTAATGCAAACATTTGAGAAAAAGAGATAATTCCAGTCATACACATGTATAATAAAATTATTATTCATCATTCCTCATCCCTTCCCCCCTCCCTGCCAGCTATAACTGACCAGACAAGTTTGCTGACAACTAACCCTGACCTTTGATCAGAGAGCATCTGCCCAAATCAGTCTTTCTCACATTTCATTTGTACATCATCTCAGGGAGTGCAGGAAATTGCATTTTAGAGAGTCCAACTTTACAAATTTCCCAAGGGGGCATGCCCCCAGACCCCCCAGGGGTTTGTGCCCCCAGCACTCAACATTCACGCCAGCAGCACAAATGGTGTACATCCACCAGCTAAACCACTGCATCCAGCACTTTCAAACGCTACTGAAAACCCTGAAAAAAAATGGAACCTGCAACAACAAGTTCATCACCCTAACAACTCTGCCATGATGCTACCTGTTTCGTTAAATATTATTAGTCTTTAAAGAAAAAATAAATATCATTTTTAGAAATATTAATTACTGTGTTCCATTTGATTCTTTGAATGTTCTTTTACCATAGTATTATTTTTTTGTTTGTTTCCCTAGGTATTCATATGGGCAGCTGATAGAGATCAACAGCCATAGCTTATTTTCAAAGTGGTTTTCAGAGGAAAGTTGTAGTGTCATACTTAAAAATTTATTTTTGTCTTTTTCAAGTGTTTAAGCATTGTACAATTTTCTATGTTGTTTGCTTTTGTTTAATTATATTGTACCCTTGATCAAAACAGAGTGGCAAGCTTGTGATGAAGATGTTCCAGAAAATCCAAGAACTAATTGATGACAAAGATGCACTGGTTTGTGTCTTGATCGATGAGGTGCATATCGTCTGAAGTTCACTTTAAAACCCTTTTTCTTTTCTTTGAATTGTCGTTCTTGTTAATGCAACTAAGGATAATACCATGGATGAGGGGGGGAGGGGGAAACTTCCTAGTAATTGGTTAATGGGGATGTACCACTGGGTGAGTTGCATTTTCTCAAGTAGATTGACTGTAATGGGGTTGTATTTTCTAAACTATTACCTAAAGTGGTTGCACATTTTCGGGATTTTAGAGGTAGGAAAATCCTGGTAAGAAAGGATTTGAAAGTAAGGAAGAATACAAATACAGGAAGTGACGAAGGCGAGGTCTTTAATTGGCCACAGAATAGACTATAACGGGAAAGAGGTTCTGAGAGGCTAGCAGCACATACCCAACAATGTTTAATTTAATGTACCTCCCCTCGGGGGTTACACACCCGTTTTAAGACATTCAGTTATGCTACATTATGTGAACTGGCAGGTTGAGAGTTTGACTGCAGCTCGGAAGTCTGCGATGCAGGGCCAGGAGCCCTCAGATGCAATAAGAGTGGTGAACGCTCTGCTTACACAAATTGATCACATTAAAAGGTAATCACTCTACAATCCACCAAGGTCTTTATTGGCAATTTTCTCAATGGACTTCAACCAGTCGGTCAATCGAGGCTAGTGAGACGGGCTACACTATAAGCTTATACAGGTGACCGAGTTACTCGAGTAAAATTGAAGATTCTCTTAAAAATATTTGATTCTAATGTGCCTGAAAGGAATCGAGACAAAGGAACTGTAGACACACAGTTCCTCTTTGTCCACACGAAGGAAAATGTCCTTTTAAAATATTATTAGAGACACTTCTCCACAAAAGCTGGAGACTTGTGAGTCCTTGATTCATTCGTCTACATACACAACATCTGCACGGCAACAACAGCGAGAAACATCAGGAATTTCTCATGCTCCCTATCCTCGCCACGGGCACATGTATGCGACTGTTTCTCTCAATGCATCAAAGGTGTGACTACGATTCGGGTTTCTATCCTGATTGAAAAGCTCTGTGGATGGCAAGACTCAGCCTTTGTCTTGCTATTAATGTACTCGTCAATTAGTCTCTAATTTGATTGATGAAACAACCTCCGCAATAGACACGAGAAGTTGCTCGGAATTCTAAGTGTTGTCATATTTTTTTTTTCTTGTTCCGATCTTCTTGCCCTATCATCATCCACTTCCTTTTATGCTTTTCACTCGACTTTCCCTCACTTTTTCCCTCTGTTATATGTACTCATTCTTTTTAATCTCGATTCTTTTGTTCCATCGCTTCTTATACTCTCGCCCTTTCTCCTTGTAAGATTCCTCTCACTCTGTCCGTTCTCGTTTCTTATCCTACCTATTTTTTCAGCTGTCCTTCTACTTTCCTTACAACGTTTTCAATGCTCTTACTCTTTCCCTCAATTTCTTGTCCACGATGATGATACGAACGACAGTCTAATAGAACAGTTATTATTAACATATTATGTCTTCGAAAATGATGGCACCACCTGCCTAATAAAAGACACACTATTGCCTTTTCAGGTTTCCCAATGTAATTATCCTTACCACCTCTAATGTAACTGGAGCCATAGACTTGGCATTTGTTGACAGGTATGTTTAGTGGAGATTTAATGCGATTTTTTTCGAATGTGCGTCTCAATAAAACAGACCGCTTACACTGCAGTTTAATGAATAACCTTCACAAGGTCTTTTACCTTGGAAACGCGAGTTTGCGATTTATTCAATAAGGTTTCATGATTTAGCTTTCTTTTATCAACGTAAATGAAGATGGTTTCGGAGGTCCAGTGGTAAAACGGATGGAACCCTTCATTTTTAGTCATCTACAATGCGATATGATGAATTTGTTTGTTATTTTTGTGTTGTTGTTGTTGTTATTGTTATTGTTGATTTTATTCTGGTGTCATTTCTTTCTCTCAATCAACAGGGCAGATATCAAACAGTACATCGGACCTCCGTCTGTAAATGCAATATTTTCCATATATCATTCCTGCATCGCTGAGCTAATGAGGGTAAGAGTATAACGGATTTGTCATCGAGAAGGTGTCATTCATTTATTGTTGATGTTATACGTTTGTTGTTCTTTTTCCAGGCAGGGATAATTTCTCCTGTGCAACAGATACTTGGCATAAGGTTTGCTCTATCATTTTTGTGCTTTTCCAGTGAATTGTTACCCTCTTGTTGTTTTACTCAAGGGAAGATTAACCAGAGACTGACCCCCCCCCTCCCCCCCATAGAGGGCTCGCTCCAAGGGGAATCTCTTTAGAAAATTAGAGAATTTTCTTTAGAATCAAGGTAACCGGTATCCCTAGTATAAGGTAATTTCCAATTGTGTTTTGGAAGTAATCCGGGATTGCATTGGGTTGCCTTACTACGATCTGTGATTGGTCTAGAAAACTGGCCCCCGTTACTTCAACCAATCAGATGCAAAAGTGCTTGGCTTCGGGTAGTTTGCTTGTTTTCGCTTTGAGTTCTCACTTGCTCCTGAGGATATTTTCGTTTGTGTTGATGGATAGTTGTGGTAACTTTGTTTGTTGGTTTTACGAAACCTAATGTAACATCTATCGCCCGGGCATCCTGAATGTTTCGGTGAAGAACGCGTTGCATGGGATGGCCTCGTAAGCAAAATTCACGACACAGGATTGGTTGTCTGCTGGGATCTCCGATTATGGGAGTGATTTAAAAATGACATATCATCGTGGGAGTAAGGGTCACGTGAAGATTCAGTCTCTTAGCCTGATAATCTCTTTATTTACCCTGTTACTGGTGGGTAATCTTTAAACGTAATAACAATATGCTAACAGAATATATTCTTTCTTCTTTCCAACGGAATTTCCGAACAGGGACTTGGAAGTGTTACGGTGAGTTGTTGTTTTAACGAACGTCTTCCGCTATCACAGAATATGCATTTAGAAATTGGGTGTCTTCTTATAAATCGTAAAAAATTAGAAAGCTCAATGGACGCATTGTAGAACCCCGCCAATTCGGACTACCAATGACAACGGAAACAATCCGAGGTATTATTGGAGAAGTCCGTTTTTGCTGTTAAAAGCTATTCCATTCCTTTATGATGACCCTCAGCGAGGATCTTCTGTGTTCGGATGGACTGTTAGAACGCAAAGACGGTAATATAACTCCTGACTGTACTGTAATGAGTTCTAATGGCTCGTAGCTAATTCCCTTTCGGTGAAATGATTTTAAATTCTAATTTTGTTCTTTCTTTCTCAGTTTTGTCCATAATGATGCTACAAACTTAAGCCTGGAGCTTTTAGAAATAGCGAGGTTGGTCTCATAGAGTTTGTCCACTATCTATATTGTTAACGTTTAAAGTTGACAAAGTGTCGTTCCCTATTTCTACACAGGACACCTTTGATACTGCTGATCGTAGCAGCATGTACTGCGCTGGTCAGCTCTGTACCTAGTGTATGGCCTTAAAAGCAGTCTTTAAGCTTCTGGCGTAACTTGCTTTAAGGTTTTGTGGCAGTTTTTCGCAAAGTATATCCGAAATCAGAAATTGGTTAAGAATCCTCATGAGAACTTTGTTTACAAGTAAAGTCGTTGAAAGATGAACATCTTTCTGTTCACATTTACCTGTAGCTTGTTGAAGAACAATAAATTGTGTTGGCCTGTATTTGATATTCTACATTAATTTGCTACAGGAAGAGTCATGGACTGAGTGGCAGGACCCTCAGAAAGATTCCATTTTTGGCACATGCTAGACACGTTCAGGTCTGTTCAAGCTGTAAATTAGGGGGATTTTGTGCTGTTCAAGTTGTTTGTTTGTGTTCTCCCGAGTCAAATACGTGTTGCTAGAGTTTCCATCTTTGATACAAGGATGAGTTCATTACCTCTCACTAGAGTTGAAAATGTATTCCTAAATTTTGCTGGTATGTCGTTTACAATGTGCGTCAAGCTCTCCATTCTTAACTATGCTTTTACCGTCTTGTTTTACCTTCGGTTTTGTTCTTGTTTTCTGACACGTTTTCAGGTGCGACCCGAGGTGTAACGCATCTCAGCGTAGTCAGTTTTCTTCGAAGCTGAACTCAGGAAGATCCTAAGAATCATTACGTATTAGAGTAGGGCTGGAGAAGAAACGGTTTCAAAGGAAAAAAAGAAACTGAATTTGTTTTCCAAGCTAGATTTCATTCATGAACGTCGCGGGCCCTTGAGGCGAGGTATCATCATTCTGTACAAACTTCGTATTTTTTATCTTCTACCCAGACTCCTGCTGTCGCGTTGGCAGCCTTTCTGAGTGCGCTTTCATGGACGGTGGATAAACAGTTTGAAGACCGAGAGAATCTGAAGAATGACGACTGATAGCCACACTTCTGTTCAAAAATGATCAAGAATAGCCTTATAAACTAGTATCAGAGACAGGAATGGATTGCACGACTGTTGCACCTCTGATGAATTTTTCTTTATGCTATTCCGCCTTTAAATGCAAATTATTGCAGTTGCACTATGCTTAAATTAAAAGATATTTAATGCGCAAATGATATTACTCACGATTGGTGACAGTGTTAAATTCTCTCATCATCTTAAGATTCGTGTTTTGATGCAAGATTCTGAATTCCACGGCATATTGCTGCGTCGTTGGACGCTTTTTCATGCGCTATCTCAATGTTAGGATCAAGCGCGAGCATGAACTCGTCACCAGTGTCGCGCTAGTGTGGGAAACGGTAGAACAAGAGCTGAAAAAGTCTGCACTAAACCTTCGCCAACATGTTATTTTTAGGGTCTGTTAGGGAGAGAGAATATGCAGATTATAGACCTTTCTGAACCAAACATGTAGTTTCTAATGGCTTTTGCGCTATTTGTAGTGAGCGCGGGAAACTGTCACGCATTTATTGGTTGGATTTCGCTCTCGATTGGTTAAAAGCCAGTATCCGTGTTCTGATCGGCTACACTCTAAGAAAGTGTTAAGATTTGTATAAATACGCAAACTTTCTTCGTTGACGAAGTTGCTTGCCGTATTGGCGAATACTAGAAACACAAGTTTTCCGCTCAGAAGGCGTTCTAAAGCATATCGTTCTTGTCTCTTTGAAGCGTTTGGAAATTTTTTTCCCAAGAAACTATAATTGCGGCAGGAATGAATAACTATTCCTGTTCTGTCGTGGGACGGAAGAGGATCTAAACATGTTCAACTCCGCCAACAAAGTGTTCGAACTCGAGAGCAAATCAAGCAAAGATTAAATTTTTAGAGCAGGTGAAATTTTCAGATCATATAATAATTTTATATAGTCCAGCAACACACTAAAAGTGGGTTGAGTTATTTCTTGCTCTAGGCCTGGAAATCTTACTTTAGTCTCATTCTACTTCTACTAGGGCTCGAGTTTAGCAGCTCTACGTAAATGCAATATCAGCACCAGATTGATTGTAAATAAAACAATAACACAGAAGACTTTGATGTCATCATTTACGTCACACATTGCGACTGTAAGACAGGGCATAAAATCAACAAGGGCTGGGAACTGCTAAGAACCCAACTATAAACAACACACACTGTTTACTTCTGCGCAGTTAGTGGCAAGAATCTCAAGAAGACAATCACATGCAATTTGTCCTCTATGAAAAAGAGCTGTCGACCCGAGAGTAGCATGGTGCGTTTTATTAACTGAAGTATTCTTTCCCTCCTAAGTATTAGCCCTCCACCAAAAAAAAAATCTTTTGTCTAGATTTTCTAAGATTTTGTCTATGAAGTCCACGCTGGTTCACCGGCCTCAGTTCCACAGCTTTTGCTTGGAATTAATCTGTGCAACTGAGACATTCTCGGCCGAGAATTCTCTCAGTAGCAGCGTGGAATAACTTTTCATCCTTATCTGAAAGATTCACTGCGGAGCTAAAACGTTTTTATTTCACAATCGATCAATGATAAAAAACTTAAAAATAAATATACTATTTAAATTACTATTTGTGGTCACTTGAGAGCTTAGCATAATATTGCTTTCTATAAAAATGTTCTTCATTTGAGTTGGCACCTCCCTTCACCGGCAGCTTCTGGCACTAAGATGACTACTTTGATCTACCATAGTCTGGCACTGTAGATCAGAAGAAAATACAAAATGAGCTGCCATAAAATAGATGAAAACTCAAACCTGCCAAAAAGCATGCAACACTTTCAACATGATGTCGAAGTGTAAAAATAGATATAGAAAAACCGGATCAATATCAGTATCTGGGCAACTGCCCACCTACCCCTCTCCTAACTCAACAGCAGTCAATTGACAACAAGTTGAGGTTAATGTTGGGTTAGGGGAGGGGTAGGTGGGAAGTTGCCCAGATACTGATATTGATCCGAAAAACCTAGTGTCCCACAGGATGATGATTTGGCTGATCTCGGGTGTTTGTAGAAAGGGACGCTCTGACTCAGTCGGAGCAGGGTGAGCGAAATTGTAGTTCAAAATTGGTTACATTTAATCTACAATTGTCCGCTGCAGGATTTTGTTTCATTATAGCAATCACTGTTAACATCAAAAAGTACTTACCCGACTTGTAAGGTCACTATTGGTGGGTGATATAATAATCATGGACATAAGTCAGAATTGCCAACGGCTGGCCAAGAATGATTGAAAGCCATACCACCATGTTACCATAGTTTGGATAATCGCCAAGAAATTTTTTCACGATCAAATGGAGAGGTACCTGGTGACGAAACGAAAGAATCAAAATAACAGTGCCTTAAAACAACTTCGGAAATAAATTGCCAAGTTGTTTCACAGATTCACGACTGAAAAAAAAATGCAAAGACTTTTGTCTTCACAACCAGCCTGGTCCAAATAATACATGTTCGAAATTCTTCAATCAAAGACAATTCCCATTGACTTCAGGTTACATAAACTGAATTCACTGTGTATGATTTGCATTTTCTTTGTGGTTAGGTATCTGGAACAAAGGGATACTTTGCGATCATTTTGACCTGAAATTCCTGTGAAATTCATTTTAAATTACAAAATATGTGCTCTTTACTACACCCCCAATTAGTTCGCGTGCTATCAGGATTAAAGGGAAATCTTCCCCTCTATTTGAACCCAGAGATATAATAAATATCTTACTCACCCTGTTTTCTTGGTCCTTACTGTAAGTTATGAAACCTCGTTTTTCCTGCTCTTTGTGTTGTTGATGTTTTGCTTTCTTTTCGTTTTTTTCCCGATTTTAAGCAAAACTAAATCCGAGCGGAAAAAACTTAGATCGTAACTTACAGAATAGACCGCTTCGAACTCGTTCAGAAAGAGGCATGAATTACACGAAGCCCTACTAACATTATGCCTGTTTTACAGATAACGTTGAGTATTCCACTAAAAAATTTAAGACTGAAAAGTAACCGAATTAGACTAACCTGAGCTAGCATAGCTAGGAACGCCCAGAATCTGAACAGTCGTAAGGGCACACTGACTAAAAACTAAAAAAAGAATGCAACATAAAAAACTGCTACCAAGAGAACTATTTGTTCATAAAAACCTTCTTAGGTTGAAGATGGACTTCAAAACAATTCAGTTAGAATTCACGTGAAAGGAATAGCTTGGGTGGAGGCTAAGAAGTTTCCAACTCAGAGGTTATCTGGAATAGACAGCTTTTAAGCTGTCTTCTCCTGATAACCCTCAATTGAAAACAAATATTTGCTGGAAAAGAAACAATTTAAATTGTGGTCCATGCTTGGTGCTTGTGAGGAACATCTAGGGAGTAAATGTACCATATACATGTACGTTGCAGTCGATCTCCGTTTTGTCAGCTCCGCTTTCACACTTCATCAGTACTACAACATGCATTTTCCTCAGAATGTGTCGATTCGCCTGCTCGAACGTATCCTCTCAAACTGTAAACTCGGCGAAGAAACCTCCCCTCCAACCTCAATTAACAAGTACCAAAAAAACTGAACAATGTAGAAAAACACTTCTAGAAATGTTACAAATTTGGCCACAATTAACATCAGTGAAAACTGCTCCTGCCTTGTAAGGACCCTGAAAAGGATAGTTACCTCGTGGAAAAATGCAGATAGTAAAAACACAGCAACTTGCGCTTGAAGAGATGAATAACCTGACCTTAACATGGGAATGTAGAGATGTCTGCCACGGACATAAGAAAAAGGGAAAAAAAAGGAGATGTAAATATCATTTAAGCTTTTTAGAAAGCCGACTCTGCAAGTTCCCGCAGAAAAAAATATTAACACCAATTCAATTCAATTTCAATTCAATTCAATTTTATTTGTTAGCAATACAATATTATCACAGACCTAGGTGACCCGCAATTAGCAAGCTATTCTAGGCGGGCCACCCTTCTAAAACAAGTGCTGTCTCTGCTAAGGATCACATACCGATACAATTAAACAAAGATAATCATTAATAAAAATACAATTGTTAAATAAAATAAAATAAAATTAAGTCCGTTGAATAATTAAATAATCAATTGCAAAGTTATCAAGATATATAATACAATTGAAACAAGACTTAAACGAAGAGTTACTTTATCAAGAGATATTTACAAATTTCAGAGCAGCGTATATCAACATTCATCTCCTCAATTTCCAAAAGTTTTAACAGGCGATTTTTAAGTTCACGCTTAAACGGGGTTCTGTTTTTAATACGAAGTTCTTTTGGGATGCTATTCCACAATCTTACACCTATTCTAGCAAAAGTTCCCGTTCACCGTTCTTTGATAGGCCGTACGTCTTAGGTGCCTCTTTTTAAACCAAAAGAAAAAAAGAGAAAGTTTTCAAGACAGTTTTGAAAGCAGTAAGAAAAGAACATCAAACGAGTTTTGTGAACTGAGTTTGCAGAAGGGTAAAATACTTTGATATAATCACTTGGCCGGGTGAAATAAGTAAGTAATGATCGATCTCGAGGGAATCAGTGAGTTTAATTTCCTCGAGACTCTATATGTTTCCCGAGATGGAGCCAAGAGGAACATTTAAGGTCCAGTTTCTGTCCGTTTTTTTTTTGTTTTTTTTCAGCATTTATGGACCTTCACTTTGTTTCGCTTCATAAAGACGCATAAAAAAGACTTGGTAAATTACCCGCCACATCTCACACTTCAAGCGAGGTTAAATAACCATATGGAATACGACTTGACCAGTTTTCCCCCATTTCCCCCAATCTTTGCCAAGTGGCCTAGCTTCCACTGAACAATCATCGCTTTGAGCATTGGAACGGTATGCACTTACCTTCTCGCCCAACGATGAACAGGTATATTCCAGTTTTGCCAGAAGTATGCCACATTTGGAGAATTCCTGGAAACAGAGGGGAAAAAAACAAAGATTACAGATTTAATAATATACATGGAAAAATTACTTAGTTCTGATTGGTTAAGATAAATGCAGTTTTCAGGTAATTCAGGGCAGAAGAGAGTTAATTCAGTGCAGAAGAGGGTTAATTCAGTGCAAAGAAAGAAACAAATCAGACATTCTGATTGGTCAATAATCAAAGAAACTCACACATAGCCAATCAAATGCGAGCCTTGGATGTCGCAACAAAATTTGAAAATTTGAAAATTTGCGGGTGAAACAACGGCCGGTGTTTTAAGTAGGCTTTCTTTCACCACCGCAACTGAAAAACAGCTTAAACAACGACAACAATGTAAAACGCACTGCTTTTTGGTTGTCGGTTTGGAAAATTACGATCCGACCCAGCTTAACACTTTGCTCGAGCGATCACACGCCGAAATTAAAAACAAACATGGTTAAACCTCGGAAACGACGATTCCATTTCATCGAAGGTGATTCGGACACAGACTGAACAATTCCTTGAACTGTTTAGCCGGACTTTGAACTTTTTTGCACCTTAAAGATGTGAAGATATCATTGCATAATTTATTATTGTTTTGATCGTACGCAAGGTTTGAATAAATTATTTTTGCACTTGACGCGCGCGCTTTGCTTATGTTTAATTATGATAAGCCATCTCGTATTTTTCCATGTATATTATTAACACGTAATCACATGATTTTTCTCGTGCAATTTGGAATAAACAAGCACTTGTTAATTTTTCAAAGACCACAAATTGCACTCGCCCTAAGGGCTCGTGGAATTTTGTTGGTCTTTAAAAAAAATTTACTCGTGCTTATTTATTCCAAATTGCACGAGAAAAATCATGTGATTACCTATACAAAACGATACTGTTTAGCCTCTACAAAATGGCTAGATGTTTGTTAACAGATGTTAAACGCTTACTAGACAACCCTAGGGGCATTGGAATATTTTTTTTTCCAATATCCACTGCCTGACACAAAGGATTATCCTAGAAAACGAGGACTGCATATGGTCCAATCGTTCACAGGTCTCCAGATAATGATGGAACTCTAATACTTACCACCAGTCTCGATAGAAAGTCCTGTCACCAAACCTTAATAGTTCTGCTAAAATGTTAAGGCCACTGTGGAAGAAGGCGTAGAAGAAAAGTAGCCATAACAAGTGGTTGGGAACCTTGAAAAATAAATCCAAATTACATTTCACTTTCTTAAAATAATACTATTTTTCTGGGCGATAATTCACTTTAAACGATCTTAAATGTCAAGTAGTGGGGTATTATTATTTCAGCTATCCTCCAACAGGGAGATTAAATTGAACAGGTAAGGAGTTGTTTAAGATGGAAATCATTGGGATTTCAATCTAATCAGGGAGCAAATATCCATTGGGGCAACAAACGGAAGTCAAAAAGGGGGTGTCATGTGACCATAAAAGTCCAGCCCTGTTCAATAGAGGATATTTTATTTTCATTTTATATTTTGTTAGGGGAAAGAACAAAAATGTGGCTGTAATGATGAGGTGATGACAGATCAAACACTTAGGTTACAGGTTACAACATCATTTTAAGAGCAGGCACAAGTAAATTTTTTGATCAGTGCTTGTTACACCGAATTGAAAGAGAAATCATGTTGTTACTTGTAAATGATTTACATGAAAAAAAGCCTCACAGAAAGTCAAGACAGATGAAATTTTGGCTGCATGCACATGCTATCTGTAAGTTGCATTTATTTTACATGAAAAATGCACTTGTTTCTGCCAATCAGACGCAAGTAATTTTTTCATGTATATTGTAATAATTGATGTAGCAGGTTGTTGAAAGGCAATTGATAAAGCTGATGTAGACCTACACCCTGGTCACATCTTACAGAGCCATTTTTGACTCCAGAAAGACGTAAATTAAAAGACTCCTGAAATATGACTAATGGAAACATCTTTGACATCATTCTATGTTTGAATAAGGTTTTTAAGGTCCTCAGAGTAGCTTTCACACTTACTGCAAGTTTCATTATTCTCTCAAGGCCTCTGCCTACATCCATCTCCTATCAGACAATAAATTTTCACCATCAGACTGTCATGTTAAACCTTTTAACTCTCAACTTTTCACGATCTTGTTAGAAATTCTCCCTTCCATCTGTTATACATTTTCTTTTACATCAGCCATGAAAAACTGACCTACTTGTCATTTCTTATCTCTTATCACTAGATAAGATGCTGACATTGCAAGGAGAGGTTACATTGTGCATGAAAATTATTTCTGAGAGTAAGAGAGAAAGAGAAAAAAGCTGCATCACCTTGACCCTTTAACCCCTAGGAATGATTAGCATCTAAATTCTCCTTACAATATCACCCCTGAATCAAACATTATGGTCACGAGAATAAAGGATATGATCACCAACTGAAGAGCTCTTGATTGCTACACTAATTCTCCTTGTCAATAGCATAGGAATTGTATGGAGAATATGCATACTGATATTAAGGTTTAAAGGGTTCGATACATTGTGTATGTACATTGTACTTGGATATGAAGTCACATTCCTACCTGTATTGGTTTCATAGAGTTTTTTACTGTAGGTACAATCCACTAAAAACAAAACAAAAGTAAAATGTGTACACTGATATTCAAGGTTCTCTTGCATAGCCTTTACAGCACTCAGTGTAGCATACAGATATTACCCCTTAGGCCAAATGTTGGCTGCAATAAATATGGATCTATGATCACCAAAAATAGTAACTGGTAAAGGAAGATCTACATTGAAGCCAACAACCCTATCTTTTTTCACAAGACATTTAACAGCAAGAACACTGAACATGATTACCTGCTGAAATGCTCCAATTACAATTCCAATAATGAAAAACTGAAAATAAAAAAAAAAATTTGAATTAAAATATAACTCAAGAAATAATGGTAGCCAAGACAACAAAATCAACCCTAGTTTGGTTCTAGCATTTCATTCTCATTGCCAATTCTCTAGTTGTGCATGAAATCAAAGGAACATATTTGCCTAATTTCAACTTAACACATTCATCCCAGTTAATGTAAGTGTAAATCAAACAGATAAGTGGACATACAAACTCAGCCAGTCTTCTCAAAAGAAAACGCTTCCGTATCCTTTCACTTCTGGGATAATTGAGCTCATAACACAAAGTTGGTGCAAAAATGAAGTAATATAAATCTGAAATTAAATTGGTAATGATAAAGGAGTTAGAGATAAACTGTGTCACCTGACAAAACATGATCTAACACATGACAAGCCCAGTTTGAGCATGGCTGAGGATTTAAATGTGATGCAAGATTAAGGTCGTGGTTTGGTGAATTTAAGAACCATGATTTGCCGCCTAAAGTATATGTGAAAGAATAATTTTTTTTCCTTTCATTTCACGAAAAGATTTCCCTGCAACCTTGCACAAAAGAAGATAGATTTGAAGGTTTCCCTTTTAAAATTGTGACACCTGAAATGTTGTTTAAAATACACAGGATGTGATCATTTTTCTAAAAATTCAGGTGTGAAACAAGATCTGGAACCCTCCTTTGCTACACTCTTGCTTAAGAATGAAAGGGAAGAAAGGGTATAAATAGGCAGGGAAGAAAGGGTATAAATAGGCAGTGAAGTAGGAAGACAAAACTAAACAAACACAAAGAAGAAGACAAAACACAAAACTGTGTATTTTACACCATTAATAAACCCAAGTCATACGATGAGATACCAGTACCAATCAAGTTGCCTAACCTTTCTGAGTGAGATTTTCAGGATACTTCACCAAAGGAAGAGTTTCAGGTTTCCCATTTGCAACATGACCTGCCAAAATTGAATCAAGTTATTCAGTAAACAGCTCATAAATAACATTGATTTAATCATAAAAATTCTATATGAGAACAATGAACAGGATTTTCATTGAAAATTGTACTTGGCTTGAAAAGTTGTGGGGCAAGAAATAGCCTCACACCTGATTAACCAGTCATAAAATTTAATGAAAATGTCCCCTAGGTGCAACTCTTGACAAAAGAGAGTCAATTTAACAGTATCAGAATAGGTAAATCTATATGCCCTTATCCCTATTCTGTTCTCCACACTGTTCTCTGTACATTTCCTTAATTCTCATGATCTTTATGCTTGACTCTGCAGTGACATTGTAAGGAGAAATTAAATTCTTGTCACTCTTAGGGCTTAAAGGGTTAAGACCTCTAAACTTTACAAGGGTTAAAAGTAACACGGGAAGGTGGACATTTAAGCTTATTTCTGGAGATCTAACAACAAACCAGTGGAACATTGTGATAACCAGATTTCTAATGCTCATGTATTTGTCTCACCTTCCTTTTCATGTTTCATTAATCCCAACCTATACCAGAGGTTAACACTGACATAGCTGATGAGCTTCAACCAGACAATGGTATACCAAAAGACAGCAATGTTAGCTGCCCCTATGAAATATAAAAAATTATAACATACATGAATACTGAAAAAACAATCAAACTCAAATTTCAGTTCATTTAATGACTAATCATCAAAATCCTTAACAATAACTAAATTATGATACAGAGAAAGGCACCCATGCATTGCAGAGAAGTGAATGTTATAAAGAAGAAGGGCTGCAATATCGCCACTCACATTTCAAAGGGGTAGACTGTTTTTATCTTTGAACAAAATGCTTCTTGTTAGATGAGGATAAACAGCACACTGTAAACAATTGTGTCTGCTCAATTAAGAGAAACCATTCATTTGTGTATGTGTAAAATACATGGATATTTTCTCAATACGTACATGGTGGTGGAAGATAAACCAAAATCACTGTACATGGCACAACTAACATCAACAGTAGCAAAAACATATGGGATATCCGGCCAATCCTCTCAGAAATTTTGCCCTGTGTAAAAAAAAAAAATAGAAGAGTACCAAATCAATGATTTCAGCCACAGAAAATATTTAAATTTTATAATAAAAAAAGAGATATACTGCATCAAACATTAAGGCTAGTTTTTCTTTCTCTGACACTGAAGTGTTTTAATAGCCATTTTTTACCAAGTACCTACTTACAAGCCCCTAAAAATAGCCTCAAAAATTCTTGGAACAAACCAAAAACACATCTACATAAAACTAACAAAATGCGGCTCTCCCTTTAACACTGCAAATCACACACAATTGTTTGCACCACTTGCTCTGGTAAGTGGTGGAAGTGGTACTTACTGCAGCCAAAAGCTTCTCAACGACAAACGTCAACTGAATAAGCACATTTGAAACTGAAAAACAATAAAACAACAAAAAAGTTGCTGTTAATAAAGCCAAGCAACAACCAAAACAAGAGATCTTCCACCCTCCATTCCCTCAACAAGTTACCTGTAATTAGAGTAAACCTCTATGTTTAATCATCCCCCCCCTCCCTCCTCTCCCAAGGTCCCAGATGAAGGGGCCAGTATACTAAATCAAATAGATTAAAGATAAATTTTGCAGATAATTTAAGAAATTCACATACAGATCACAAGTGATGCTGATGGCCAGTGGTATGGATCCTCCAAGAAGATAGTTATTACTTGAAGAGGATCTATCAGCAAGCCATACCTTCAAGGGAAATACATTACATGTAAGGATAAACATTAACTCCTCAATATCAGATAACTGTACAATAGAGTACTGGTTTATATGGGCCTTTACAGTGAACATATCACATGAGCAAACACATCATCAGACCAACAAAACTCAAAATACACCAATTGTAACTTTTAAAAACAACCAAGTGCTGTACAGGACCATACTTGATAGGTAGAGACCAAGACTAGCACTATATAGCCAAAATACTGCAATCAACATTGGAAAAGACTACATCATGAAACATATAAATACCATTTACACATGAAAGAAGTTCTGTGAGAAATCAAACTTACTTCAGTAAATTATCAAGTGCTACCCTGAAATTGGAGAGCACCTGCAACAGAATAAATTAACTTTTAGTGTACACCAGGACAGCGATGGCCATGAGGCTGCCAGGAAAGAAAGGGAGGGGGAAGGGGGCAGCTTAGAGTTGACTATGTTTACCTCTTTACATCCTAAGGTCAAGATGCATATTTCCTATACTGTTGTCCTTACATTAACTAAGACACTGAAAACAATAATTTTCTAACAATCAAGAGCTCCTGTGGTTGGTGGAAATTACCTTATTCTTGTGACTTTGAAGTGTGAAAACAGGGATGATATTGTACTGAGAAATTAGATGCTAGTCAATCAGAAAGGGGTCAAAGAGTAAAGTTGAGGAAAAAATTTTCTGTGTTGGCTTTGTCTGAGAAAATATTGCAGTTTTGCCTCAGCAATATTCATACTCTAGAACTCAAACCACCTCCATTTAAATGGAGTTGGAAAAGTTTTCACTTTAAAAATTTCATATAATTTTGGGTGGAGAAGTCTAGAAAGACAGTTGGTTATTTTTCCAGGACAATTTGCCAAGAAATGAAAGTACTGTGCAGTTATTGCACATTAATTAATTACATCTACTTGTGAGTATTTTTATGAAATTCATTATTTGCAATCCCATGTTACTTTCTCGGAAAACAACTGTCAGACATAACACAGTTTGTATACAGCTGTTTAAAGAAAAACTGCCAAAAAAAGTGCAGAAAAAGCATGCAACAACCCCAGAAAGCATTGTGGGTAGTTTTCAGGTCACAGTTTTTCTTGACCTCAGAATTTAAGGAAAATCTGCAAAACATCACTGTAAGGATGAGGTGTAGGGGTTTGGATGACAGCTTTTTTTTGTTGTTGTTTTCATTTGCAAGATTGACTTTTAATTTTCACCTTAATGAAAAATGAAAAAAGAATGCACTGACTCTATTGAACAATGAAAATGATGTCAACTAAACAAGAGCAAATACAAAGTGGCCATGTAATATTCTATTGTTACGTTCCTCTTGTATTCACATGGATTTTTGTATCCATTCCCTGCTCAAAAGTCCTTTTCTCTCCAGTTTCACTCACTTAAATTCATTGACCACAGGATACCCAGATTATCTTTCAGGATTGTTACTAGCAATTTGTCCCTTTTTCTGACTACCTTTCTGTAACGTTTCTTAGCCTCTTTTTTTTGTTTGTGATTTGTTTTAATCCTTCAAAATTTGATGAAGAAAGTACTCCATACCCTCTTTGACTCCCCAGTTGGCATTTGGTCAATACTCATAACGATCTCGACATTCAGTCAGGCAGACAGATTATGCGAATTAAAAATATGTATATTTCTTGAATGTCTTCATGTGTCTATGCGATTATCATGCAAAACTGACAAATAAAATACGTGGCCAATATTTTATTAAAATAATTAATTTAAAGATCTTCGAGGTTAAACGGATCAATTATTGCTGGAGATCACTCTAAAATAGCACTTCCTTTTCGTAAGTTTATCAAATTCAAAACAGATGTCAGAGAAAAGTTATTTTAACTGATCAGCCACAATCTGAATCTTGCTGCCTGAATAAACAATGGCTTTTTGCGAAGTCTACGAAACATTTCATTTCCTTTACTTCCATGAACAAACGAGGTAAGTAAATAAAGACATGTAGCTCCTGGCAAAAGTTCCAATGATCTTATCAATAAAAAGACTCTGTGATAAGTTATGAGAACAAAATGAACGGTAAATATTAAATGATTTGTCAAAAAACCGAGACTGTAGCCCAGGATATGATAGAAACCAGCTAGGTGATCCTGCAGCATGCGAAAATAATTTGGATGGAAAAGAAATCGGGAAGTGTATACATGTGTAATCCAAGGAAATAAGCATAATTCTTTTTCTCTTCGTTGCACATTATTCCACCATCTTTTTTGTATCTACTTCTCGTTATTGCTGATGCAATTGCTGTCTGAAGGAGTAAATACCGCAAATAAATGAATAGACTTTATTCCTCGAAATGTGATCCCTTACCAAGAGAATAAGACATAAGTTTATTAGTCCTCTGTAGTTGTCAAACCCACTGGTCGATGTTAAAAGAGATTCTTCCTTCTCGTGAACCCTGGAAAGTGATAGAAGAGCAGCTCTGAAAGCGTCCATTTTAAAAGAAAGAATTATTCGTCCCGAAAGACTCGACTTACGGTAATCGGGGAACGAAGAGTGGACACTTACCGTTTTCCATAATCCGATTCTTTTGCATGAGATTTCGTTGATGCCTTCGCCTCTGTGGTGTTTTCGGCCCTTTTGGGCGTTGATCGCTTCCTCGTTGTGGAAGATGTCATCGAGACTTAAAAATAACTTCTTTCTACTTCGCTTTCGGTCTCCAAACTAACATGACGAACGGCCTTTGAACATATAATCGTGATGTCAACAATAGTGCACGTGACACGTTGCACGATCGACCCGACTGTTTGTCCTCTAGGGGTAGGGATGGTACGACTTTTGCTATTATCAAAAATCACAAGTAGTGGTCGGGGAAGTTTTGTTTTTACGTAAATTTTTGTCAATTTTGGTACGAATCTTTTAATTTTAAATTCCTCTGTCGATAAAAAATGTTTGCCTGATGACACAACCAGGGTTAGGACGTTCCTTCTCCACACAGAACTCCAGTACCAACCGCTGGTCAAATGAGAGTGGGGGCATGACCCTTTGGACGGCCGGATCGACAAGTCCAAACGAATAAGTAATATAAATAGCAACTGTATCAACCCCTGGAAATATGACATCTGAAAGACTAAGTAATTCATAGTGGGTCTCTTCCCCATTCCCCTCGATCAAAGCTAGCTGTTATTTAAGTGCTTCGTCCCAGTACCTCTCCAAGAAACTGAAGGCGCTCTTAGGTACGCTTGCGCCGTAATGCAAAATAGCGTCCCCACAATCTTTTTAACAAAAGCGCTCTTTGTCGGTTTGTGCATTAACTGGACTGTCACTACCTTCGAGTAATATATACCACGCAGGTGAATAGTGCTTTCCGTGCGCTGTTTGACAAGTTCGGAAGTGTGTAGCAAGTATTATTCGCCTCCGAGCAGTCGATGAGACGTAAAGAGTTTCATTTCAACAATTTTTCGGTATATTGAAATAAATAAGCCATTTTTTTGATATCTGTGTGTTATATACTAAAACAATTATTCGCCTCAGTGACGGTTACGGCGGCTCTGTTACCAAGCCGGAAAGCGCACAACTATTTACCTTCACTTCGGTGAAAAATTGTCAACACAAGGGGAACATGACATGAACGATCATATTAGAATCACCAGCTTATGGGAGGCTCTTACAGCTCTTAGCCAGTAGAGACACACGAAAGATCAGAACGGTGGAGTGACAAACTAAAGGTGGTAGGCTAACCGAAAGCCTGAATTAGTTACGATACCAACACAACTTGCGAACTTGTTTACTATCCAATCGGAATATCGACTTCATGGATAACTAAATGAAATTTAGACTTTATCATCTTCGCACCTAAAATAATTGAGGACTCGAGCTCTTTGTCTGATATTGCCATGAGTTAACCTGCTTTATCGTCAAAAAATAATACTGCAATTTCACAACACTTTCACGGGTCGCGTAGGAAACTCAGAAATATCTCTAAAAGTGGGAGCCACGGTTATTAATTTCCGAGCGCCTTAAGTGAGGTGGCCTATATCCACGCGCCACCCTGTCTATCAGCGGGCTCAAGTTTATTCCACGAGAAGTTCCGGCTGAATATAGTATCTAGCTCTGGAAAAAGACTTCAGCAGGTTCTTCAAAATCGCTTTTTTTCGCAACCCGAATCACAAGCTTTGTTTGTTGTTGACTTGAAAGAAAAATCATCAGTTTACAATACCGGAATTGCCACAAAGAATTAGCCGCTAATGAACTTGTATTGTAGATGTTGAATGTCGCCAAAACTAATTATCCTGTGGTATTCGAGCATGATGATTAAGTTTCTTGCATTCGGAGTAAAGTGTAATTCGGAGTAAGTTCAGTTTCGTTTAATAAAGTTTGATCCTTTAAAAAAAAAAAACTGCATTGCAGAGCAACATGAGGAAACACACCACGCACGGCGGAAGGTAAGGGGCACCCTTAATAACGCTTTTGCTGAAGGTAAAAAACTCAACCAGTGCCCCTTGCCGTGCTAAACTTAAAAATGTTGTAAGATGCTTTATGAGTAATTTTTCAGATTTTTTGTGAAAAATAGGTCTCTATCTCGCTTATCTCGATGATTTCTTCTTCTTTGTAGCAGATTTGACAGCTTTATCTTTTCTTTTTGTACCAGCATCGGTTTTCGAATTTCTTCTCAGCTTTGGAGGCTCAATAACCGATGGTTGTTCGGGTCGTCTTTCGAAGAGAGGAGTTCGAGGAGGACGTAGGGAAACCGTTGGACATCCGCCGGCGATAAAATATCATGTTACTACGGATGACTGTGAAGTAGTCACTTAAAGTGCCTTTTGACGTTAAGAGTGTCTCATTACAAGGTGCGCGGATTTGCTTTTCGCATTGAAAACCCTGAAACATTACGTTGCATAACCTTATGGCAAAAATCTTACGATCGCACGAAATAAGAAATCAACGTAACACAATTCCGTGTCAAATTTCCTACGTAATTCTTTTTAAATTACTCACCAACAGCAAAAGTGCTAAGTTTAAGAATCCCCTGAAACCGTTAAAACCACTTGTCGCGGCAATCAAAGAGTCCGAAGAAAAGTGCACTCTATAAGGCGATGGAAAATTCATGATTACGAGATGAGCTAAAAAAAAGTCAAATCAAAATAGATAAGAATTTACCTCGCTCTGAAAGTTGTGTCACCTCTCTTAGAAGGACTTCGCTGAGTCAAAGGCGCAAAATTCATGGCTGTTTTTGTTTTTAAATTTTTTTTCACGCACACAGTAAGACACGAACCACAATCTCGTTTTGATTTTATCTGTGCTTTATGAAGTCATTAATCGAGCTTCTGACGACAACACTAGCTCGCGGAATAAAATTTACAAGCTGGGACGGGTAGGTGTGGTTTTGTTAAACAGCAGATTATTATAAACAATAGATTATAATCTCTTGCTATAAATCAATAGCAGTCAGAGGTTATGATTTTACCGAGGCAGCTGATGTTCAAATCAAATTTCTGGTTTTGATTGTATTATTCTCTATTTTTTTTCTAATTTGATATGCTAGCTATTAAGAGACATGGTAACAATGTGCGCGCGCTGGTCGTGAGTGAAATTTTGCACAAAGAGGATGCGAAATGCGGAATCAAGAATGACAGTGTTCTGTTCCATGAGTGATCGGGACAGAATTTCTCTTTATATAATACAATATCAAACAAACAATTCAAAAGATGAGATGAAGGAAAATATCAATAAGTGGATTATTAGTTGATCCAATACCAAATTCTCCGATCTTACATCTTAAGAAATGTATGGTAGATAGTAAGGAGTTACCAATGACATATTTGGAGTGAAAGGGTAAAATAGGAATAATTATATTCTAATCACTAAGTAGAAGATTTCCAGCTTCATACTGAAAAAAAATACATGGAAGGTTATGACAATAAGTTATATCGTATCACGAGTCAAGTTCGAGCCCGACTGAGTTCGAGTCGCGAGTCAAGTTCGAGCCCGCCGGAGTTCGAGTCGCGAGTCGAGTTCGAGCCCGACCGAGTTCGAGTCACGAGTCGAGTTCGAGCCCGACCGAGTTCGTGTCAAGTTCGAGTCAACTGATTTTTCCCCCTTATTTCGATTTTAGCTTTCTTTTTCCTGTGTCAAATGATACACCAGAGATACAAGAACACCGAGTTTTAAGCTAAAAATATTAATTTTTTTCACAGCCGTTGACTAAGGATTGATCTTGGACTGGTTCATAGCTCTATCAAAGAGGTCAACTTTCCAAGGCATCTATTAGTTTTCCTCACAGATTACACCTCTTATAGTTACACACACCTGAGGCAGAGGTCCCACTTTAATGAAAAACTGTTTAAACTGACTCTGAGTATAAAACAAAATCTCAGCATTTCTCGTACTCAACCGCCATGTTGCATCTACAGAGAACTCATTATAAAACAGCACTACAAGCTCACTGATTCTCTTCCTCCCCGGCCAAGAAAGTGGAGAAAAGATATCATTTTCCTCTAAAACGTTTGTTTCACCAGAATTATCCTGTCCTACTTTTCTTTTTATCTCCTGATGAACAGGTTTCACTTTTCAAGATTTTCAAAGTATCATAACTGAAGTTGTCGCGACATCGTTACATAAGGTGTGGAGTACCCGATGCATGAAATATGCTGTGTCTTATGCATGAAAATGACCTTGAAAAAAAAAATACGATTCCATTGCAGTACAAATAAATGATTCCTTGTGAAATATTATGAGCCAGCGCGTAGTAACCACAAATTCCAGATCAAAAGCTTTCGTTGTTGAGGAGTGACAATCAGTTGTGGTTTTCAATGGAGTTCCAACGTGTCTTAACGGACAGTGACAGCCTTTGAAACGTTTTGTAAACTTTGCAAAAGTTCTACGACAAATGAACATCGCTAAAGTAACAATTTATAATGCGGGAATTCAGACAACTTGCGAGTAAGCTGTTCCACCGTAGGTGAAAGGTAAACAACTAAACAACAAATGAACGGCTTTGATTTTTGTTTGTTTCGTTTAGCCTTTTTTTCGTTTAAAGCTACAATAATAGTGTATTTCTATCGATATAATTTTATGAAGAAGGAAACAAATTAAGTTGACTGTGATCAGACTCGTGATACGGTATAAGAAAATTATAAAGTATTAGTAATCAAAGATTGGTGAACTGAGTGCGTTCAATTCTTGTTTTCTAATCTATCAGAGATGTCAAAATTAAATAGTCGTGTGCATTTCGTGGCTAAGATCGCCTTGAATCGTTTGGTTGCCTATTCATTTGATAGCATCTTTAGAAAACTTAAGCGTACATTTTTTTATAAATTAATACTATATTGTAGCATCCTTTTCGTTTTTTTTGTCGTGAAACAAGTTGAACAACGTTAGAAAATTAGTGAATTTTTTTATTGTTTGAAAGTAAAGTCAAATGGTAGCATTATTAACAAATATGGCTTGATATTGATGATTTGCTTCTGATGATTGACTAGTCAATGAACGGTTTGATTTTTGACTGGTCAAAGGTTTGGAAATATAGGACCTCTAAAAACAAGTTCATCTGAATATTTTAGGAGTTAGCGATCGAAGTAACTTCGTTTGAAATCGTTTGTAAGCTAGCATTGGAAAGTACATTATCACGTTTTATGCAACGAAAAAATAGCAACCGTCAAATCGCATCTTGGCTTAC